GAAGCTAATCACCACAGCATGGTTGTCAAACCGTATGACGTTTATTGCCAAGAAGTTAAAAGAACTTAAACATCAATAAAATGCATTTTTTAAGACTGCATCAATACCAAACAATGTTTACTTAGTATCTTACAAAGTGGCTTACAGAATCACGAAGAGTAAAAGGCCTCATATCATCAAAGAAGAACCTTTTCTACTAGCTGTAGATATGATGAACATTGTGGTTTGTGAGTCTGCTGGGAAGCTGTTTTTAAAAGCGCCTTTGCCCAATAGCACAATTACCGTAATTTCTGGAAGAAGCGCCAAAGCGTTTACGTGTTTAAAACTTAAATTTTCAGCTGGTGCGGTGCTTAGGTGCACTGAAAAAAAAAAATATATATATATATTCTATGATGTCATTGTGCATAGTTTGAATGACCTTGTTATTGTACATAGTTTGGATGGCCTTGTCATTGTACATAGATTAGTGCTATTCCCACACAAAAGACCACTCAGTTACTTTCTGCGAACTTTATTTTGTTTACATTCTTTCCCTTGAACAGACCTGTGTGCCTTATTCTAAACGGGATCTCAGAACAAAAGCATTCTTCCCTCTTTCAAATCAGCATCTTCATTCGATAAAGCTTCCAGGACCCATCCTCACCCCACCCCTGTCTTTTCTATTGTAAATCTACTGCAATTTTTTCAAAGGCAGACACCAACTGCGCTGCAATAACGAATTCTGACGTATTTCCCCTTCAACGCGAATCAGTTTTTCTTGGCATTCTGCTGCCAGATACAGATCCCATCAGTTTTGGTACAAGTACTTTTTGAATGTAAGAAGGGAGCGGAAAATTTTTGAAAATGGCACCTAAACGGCACAAAAGCTATACTGCTGGTTTTAAGCTTAATGTAATTTCGTATGCCGAATAAATTGGAAAAATAGCAGCAGCTTGAGAGTTTGAAGTGGACGAGAGATGCATTCAACGTTGGAGAATTGAGAAAGAACATTAAAATATTCAAAAACAGAAAAGAGCCAAAAGAAGTAGTACTTTAAGGTGGTCGAATCTAGAGGACAGCCTTGCAAACTGGATAAAGGGGCAGCGAGGAAAGAGAATGGCAATTTCAACAGTAAAAATTCGCTTACAAGCAAAATGTATGACAAAACAAATGAGCATAAAGGATTTCAAAGGATGGTTTTGCTGGTGTAGCAAATTTATGAAAAGAAAAAATATTTTTGTGCGTACTAGAACAACAGTCGGGCAACAATTACCAATGGACTTGCAGGATAAAAAGGCATCTTTTCTAAAATATTGGACAGATATTATTGACAAAAAAAACTTCTTCCATCACAGATAATAAATATGGATGAAATGCCATTAGCTTTCGACTCTCTTGCAAATAGAACTGTTGATGAAACTGGTGCAAAAACTGTGTGCTTACAATGGGGCATGGAAGAACTTCATATACATGTCTGTTAGCTTGTGCCGCAAATGGTGACAAGCTGAAGCTGATGATCATTTTTAAAAGAAAAACTATTCCAAAGGGAGATTTTCGTAATGACATAATTATTTGTGCGAACGAGACTAGATGGATGTGCGAAACAATCATCCACAAGTGGCTAAAAAAAGTTTGGCGTGTCTCGTAGGGATCTTTTTTCCAACCAAAAGGCTTATGATAATGAATTCCATTTGCTCATTACTTGAGTCAGTGAAAACCAGATGTCAAAACTGTCTACGACCGTAGCAATAATTCCTGGTGGTTTGACAAAATCTACAACCTTAGGTATGTCAGGTATAAATCCTTCAAAAAAGTCCGAAAGTGGTGGGGGTTGGATGAGTGAAGGATTGCAAGTTACCAAAGCAGCAAATGTGTAGAGCAACTATGAGAAGGGCAAAGTGCAGTGCGTGGAAATCGTGAAAATATCGTCAAAATAGCCGCATTCAAAGAAGCTGAAATTAATTAGATAAGACTGTAAACCAAGAGGATGAATGTGATCAGGACTTTACAATTTACACGAGTTACAGGTAGAAGAATCAGATTTTGATGACTTCATTGATGTACAGTTTTGCTGTAATTCCTTTGTAAGTAAAATTAAAATTTTCTTTGTTATCAAATTTAATGTTGTTGTGCATCTTTTATAATAATATGAGGTATGACAAAAATGAACTGCTTTAGTGGTTAAATATAAGTATATTGTGAACATAAATCTATTTTCAATATTATTGCCTTTAATTTACTTTTTTATATTTATGTCATGCATTTTTCTTAATTGATATTTCATATATCAGGACATAGCTCAAGATTTTGCATCTATACAGTCCACAACAATGTCACGCTCGATTTAATCTATTGGAGCATTTACGCTGATGCAGTGTTTCTGCATAATTTTCATTTTTCTTCCACCTGATACAGCCTTTCTTCCCGGAGAATACTATACAACATATGGCAAAGGATATGAACTAACTGGAAAATATTAAAGCAGTGGAATTTGAGCAGTTACTCAATGGCCAGCTAATCACGAGCTACAGTAATAATAAGAACTCTTTGATTTGTTTATATTGTTTGTAAAAGTATACAGTAGAAGTCCAGAAATCCGCATCTGGACCAGAAGGTTTGTGTGGATTTATATTTTGGGATTTCAGAACAGAAAGATAAATCATGTATTCGACTAAAAGGCAAAATAAATAACGTGTATTGGATCATTTAATTAAATTATTTAACATTATTACATATTATTAAAGATTATATTATACATTTAATTTGATTATATTTATTTACATACAGCTCCTCTTTTTAAATCAGCACGATTGCTCTTCTGTTTTCTCTCAGGAGAGGTTCTGAATTGGTAACCAATCACTCCGCCGCTGCCCAACACGCGTACAGACGTAATCAAGTTTGCCATTTCATTCATGCAAGATTTCCGTTTTAATCCGGTGTTATAATCACTGTTGCTTAAATTTCAAAAGCTTTTCTTTTATTTTCATATATCATACACAGTCGTGTCGCAATCATACGATTCTGCTAAACCGAGGGAGTAGCAATGCCTCATCTTTTGCAGAATTTCACTTTTTGCATTACGTCAATAACATGTTACTTTTTTCAACGTTGGCGCAGTAAACCATGAGTTTTTTCTATCGTAGTGTATAAAAGCGCGAATTTAAAATATTCATAATTTCATCTTCAAATATCGGAGTGAAAAAAGCAGTACTAAGCAATTGTGAAAAACACAGTCAGAAATAAAGAACGAAATCGTGAATTGAAAGAAGAGTGAATCATTGCTTTTTTACCTTATGCAGATAGAGAAGAAAAAACTTTTTATCATGATGTCAATAGTGATTTTCCTTTGTTTTTCATTATTATTCGGTATGTATTTTTTCTTCGATATTTCATACTCCATGTTGCGGTTTCTGAAACCTATAAACTGAATGTTTATATTTTGAGAGGCAACACGGATTTCAGGAGTTGGCGGATATCAGGTCGGCGGATTTTCAGTATTTGACTGTAATATTAAACAAAGCTTTCTTGTAAAAATATCACTGCAAGAGCTATGTTTATTACCTGTTCAAAATTCTTGATACATTCATATCTGAAAATAATTTGAATTAGCTTAAGTGCTTTGGACTGGCTGCAGTGGAGGATTAGAGACATTTATTTGAAGGAAATCGGCTGATGTGCTGTGGACCCATTGCATTATTCATAGAGAAGTGCTCGCATCAACCCGTCTGAGCCCTGCATTGAATCAGGTGTTAGAATGTGTAGTGAATGTGGTAAATTTTATAAAATCTCGTCCATTAAAAGCTTTTTCTTTTTTTTTTTTTTTCCTATGGGGGTATGGAAGCAGAATACTGTCTTTGTTGTACCATAGCAGTGTGCAATGACCATCTTGTGGTATTGTTTTATCACAAACCTTTCAGTTGAGACAAGAATTTTTCTATTTTCCTTAAAAAGGATGGACACAAAGATGCAGAAGATTTTGCTGATGACGAATTTTTAATGAAACTGGCATATTTATGCGATATTTTTGAAAAGCTGAATTCCCTTAACCTCTCTCTGCAAGGAAAATGCATGCACCTTCTGAAGTCAAGGGGAGAAATATCAGTTTATAAAAAAATATAAACCATGGAGAAGAAAATTGAATGAAGATGCAGGCAAAAATTGTTTTTTTAATTTTGCAACAATTTTTGATGTCAAATGAACTTGATCTTTCCCAAGGTATAAAAACCATGTTTGAATGTTTGAAAAACACTTATCATAACTAATTACGTGATTTCAGAAATACTTTAAAAATGAAATTTTCATTAGGTTTGCATGAATGCAAGATCCATTTAACAGTAGAGCTCCCTCTGATTTTACTTCTGTGGAAAAAAAGAATCTTATTGAGTTATTGTGCAACCACACTTTGAAAGCAAAATTTACTAACATGGAATTGACCAAATTTTGGATCTCGATAAAAGATGAATATTCCCTTCTAAGTGGTAAGGTTCAGTGGATTTTAATTCCATTTGCAATGTCATATTTGTGGAAAACTGGGTTTTCATCGGTCACTATAATAAAAAGCAAGCATAGAGCAAATTCCAACTCGAAAAGAAAATTATGATCGCCGGGTCCAGTTTAATTCAGTTATTTGAGAAAATGTGCAGTGATTTGCAGGCTTATCTATCACATTGATTATTCATTTAATGTTATAAAATTCAAATAATTATATAATATATAATAAATAAGTCACGAATTTTATTTATTTTTGTCTCTTATTTATGATTAGTTATATTTTTACTTAGGGTAGGGCACCATGGAAAAATTTTAATTGAGAAAAAGTGCCAAGTTTGGGAACCACTGCTTTATATAACGTGAGTTGCTCATTTTCACTGAAATGAAAATAAAAATTATTAATTATGAAAATAAAAAGTCTCTAAAATTGATATTTGTGTACCTGTTTTAATATTGTATTTGGAATGTGTATAAAAATGTTTTCTTTGATTCAGTGGATAATGGATATTTTTAACATTTTCTCCCCATAGCTTGTAGTGGTGGTTATGTAATGAATGATCCGAATCCTCTTGTATTGAAGTCTCCTTCCGCACTACTTAATAATGGCAGTTTTGGTTCAGAATGTCGTTGGTTGGTTAAATATTCTAGCAGTAGTCAAATTTTAGGTCTTGTTTTTAACAGTCTTCATTTTGATAGTGTTTTTGACATACTGGCTGTAAATGATGGACCAAGTGTGAAGTCACCACCTTTATTGCAAGTTACGACTTCAAACCATAATAATACAATGAGTAAGTGTTTAATTTTTCAAATTTTCTATCTTGACCTCTTTTTAAATAATTGCTCATTTTGTAATTAAATTTTCATAGTGATAAAATATTTTTATGTATTTTATTTTAATTATGATGACCAAAATAAGGCAGAAAAAGGCATATAGTGATGATATTTAAAATTTTGTGTGAATTTACTTGTTACTTTGAATATTTTTTTAAATAAGAACCAGCAAATAAAAGAGTGAGACTCCAGAATTATTTTTAGAATTCTTTTATATATTGTTATAAGTATATATTAATTTACCAAAAAGAAAGGAAAAACAAACCAAAAGTCAAATATAATTGCTTAAATGATCTATCTCGTTTGAAGAACTAATAATTAATAAAGATGTAATACAAGCAATCTAAAGATCAGAATTTAATATACTCCCGCTTTTCCGAAGGAAAGATACAGATATGATGAATCTGTGTTATCTTCAACATTCTATTGTTATAGACTGAATATTTAAAACATAAGAATCTCTGTTGTGCTTGAACTTTTCATAATAGCCCTTTGAATATTAAATATGTAATACATAGAATAAAAATATGTAAAGCAAAATTCTAACTTTAATTTGAAATAGTATCTTAATTCCCTGTTTTAGTTCAGGTATTTCTCCTTGCTGTTCTAAAATTAGTAACTGCTAAATCTTAGTGAACTCTGTCATTCCAAAATTAACACTCCAAGTTTTGTGGACGTAAAATTTCAGATAGAAGAATGGCTTTCCCAACACACAAAAATTTCTGCCACCTTCTGGTGTATTCAGTTTTGAGATGGATGTGTATTCCAAGAAAAGGAATCAAGGGCCATCACTTATTCTTGACATTTTGTGAAACACTTGAAATTTCAAGACGAAACCTATAACACTGAGAGGTCATATGATTCTTACTTGCATAGCACTCATGATGCAGGTAACTTGCATATGCCTTCAACCAATAATAAGTTTAGAGGGTTGTTAATTAGTCTATCAAAATACATTGAAATTGGAACTTACTCACTTTGATCTAGATTTAGTCTTGAACATCTATTTATATATCAGCTTTTTGAAAGGAGAAGATTATGGAATGATTAGTTGAAAAATGGAAGAATGAAAATTTGTGAAACGTGGCTGGAAGATATTCTTTGAGGAATCTGTTAGTTACGTACTTTAAGTGTGATGCATTCTATTTTGAGAACTTTAATAGCTCACATAGTAAAAAATCAAAGATTAATGTGGTAATGCTAATCAAATTCATCATTATATCATGAGACAAAAATCTGAGATAACACTGAATATATTCTGTAGATTCTAGATATAAGACAGAATTTTTCAAACATGGGATTTACTAAAGCAGGTTATTTCAAAGAGCAGTTGGCAAAAGTCATTTTAACCTTTAACTGCTGTGACAATATTTCTGGCATAATTACTGTGAGCGGTCTCGTAGACCGCTTTAAAGAAACGCATAAAAATACACACTTTTATGCCTTTTTAAGGAATATTATAGATACTTAATGCATTTTTATAGAATTTTAATTCATATTTAAGTCAATATATTTTAAGCATAAATCCTTTAATTTTACACATTTAAATTCATATAAAAAATGACTATTTTCTTCGTTTTAAGGAACAAAAGTTTTTAGAAAACAAAGATTTTATTAAACATGCATGAAAATATGTGACTTTATTAAGTATTACTGTCAATTAAACCATATTTCTACAACAATGAATTTAATTATTAATAAATAATAGATTAGAATGTCTTTGTTTACACGGATGAGTCATAAGATGATACACAGTCAAAACACATTTTTTGAAAGCACTGAAGACAGTTGTTAAAGTTGATTAGCTAATAAAAGCATAATTTTTTTTTGTTTTCAGTTTTGTAGCATCAGGATATGACTGGAACAATATGTATGAACATAAATTCCAAGTATCTTCAGACTCTGCTCTAGAGACTATTTTTTCAGGATGTTTCAGATCAGGGAGCTGAATTATTATGTTATGCCTCAGTGTTCGTACGGCCCAATTTGGTTCTTTTTTACTCCATTTGAAGCGCTTTTTTCCATTAAAATTATCATTTTGTTCTCAGTCATTAGAAAAATTATGATATTCATCTGCAGAAAACTCAGATTCACTTTTGCTTTTGCTGTGAATACTACATGATTCTTCAAAATCAGAGTATTCTACATAAAAATATTTTTGACAAGATATTCGATTTCTTTTTGAGTCAGATATACGGGACGTTTTCTTGTAAAATTTGAAGCCATATTTATCACTTTTGCAAAAAACAAGCATCCGATAACTAATGTCTTATCGTCCACTAAAACTCGTACACATCTGCTGTGAGCAGTCTCCCAGGCACCTTAAAAAGTAAAAAACATGATAACTGAAACCAAAGCTAGAAGTGTGAAACTGAATATGTGACCTTGTGGGACAGGTTTAGGAAAGTAGGAGGAAGGACAGGGACCATTCTCAGTTTTTAGGAGTGGAAGCAACGGTTAAAAAATCCTCAGTGGTCTCTGAGACCACTCACAGCAGTTAAAGGTTAAACTGCGCTGGCACCTATCTTTTTTTTTTTTTTTTTTTTTTTTCCTAGTTTAGGACTGATTAGTGAAAAATGCAGCAATTACATAAAAAAATTGAATAGAGATTTGATAGGAAGAATTAAGTTGTATAAAATTTTAATGCCATACATTTGTTTTTATTCAGTCGTGCAAGCGCCAATATTCTAAAACTTGGGACTTATGGTAATAATGTAAAATGTACACACATATTAGAAATTATTTTTTGTAAGTAAATAAAAATGTTATTGAAACTAAGAAGTACTTAGAAATATATGATATTTTATTATATGTCTTTATGTTACTTTTTAATGTGCTGGGTTTGTCATTTAATTTGTGCCTTTACAAATAGTATACACCACATATTTTTTCCCTCCCAGTTTTCAAGTTGTAAAATTAGTAGAAAAAGAGGAGGAAATATGTGAGTAAACACAGTATTAAAATACAGATCACCAAGCATTTCTAATTGGGTATTGTGACTATAGTGTTGCATGGATCCAAGTATTCATGAAAACCTGCCCAATGCAGGGATTCTTTTGAGAGGCTTGTGACTGGTAAAGAGGCATATGAGTCTCTTATCCTTTAGAGCAGCGGTCTTAAACTGGCAGACCACGGCAGCATGTGCCCGTAGAAGCAAATTTTCTTGTCACAATAAATAGCTAATAATTACCTAAATTATTATTTAACAGTTGAAATTTTTATTGCAATAACTAGAGTTATTGTGATAAGAATTTCAAGAAAGGTTTGAGATTTCAATGATTTGGAGTCCAATTTTACATTATTTTCATAACCATTGAAAACAAAAGAATTTGAAGAAAGGTAAAAGATTTTGGCGATTTGAAATCTAATTTAACATTATTTTCATTGCCATTAAAAATAAACATCAGTAATTAATTAAATTAGCAGAAATTAAAATTCGACTCGGAAACCAAAATGGCACTATGCAACATCCATTCATGTCGGAAGAAAAGGTGTTCTGAACAAATTTGTGGTTTGTTAAATCACAGATTGTTTTCATTGCTGCCATACATTCATTCCACTTAAGGTCTAGTGAGCTTTGTGAACCATAGCTTTCTTTCAGAATTCAACAACTGATTAGAATAATTGCATGAGAGGTGTATGTGCCAATCTGTTGTTACCTCGTGCTGACTTTCAAATTTATAGATGCATCAAAACTGCGAATTGATGAAAGCTAATTTACAAAAAAGGGAAAAAAAAAAGAGGAAGGAAGGAATTAACATATTCTGCATTTTTCCATTCGAAGTTTTTTTTTTTTTTTTTTTTTTTTTTTTTTTTTTTTTAGGGAGGATTTTGTTATGAAATTAAAGAAATTTGCTTTTGTTTTCAATCGTTTCTTTTTATCTAGTATTGAACCAAAGGCTGAAGAAGTATGCCAGAATGTGTGGTGTGGCTTTCATACACAAATTGTGGAAGTCATTTTGACTGCAAATGAAATTAAATGTTTTGTATTTTGAAAATTTTCTTTCGAAATATTTTGATTAAAAAATTTGGTGTTTATGAGTGAGACAAGATAAATTATTTGTCCTGTTCTAAATGATTATTTCTTTACATATAACTGTATACGTCTAGAATTTTGGCTAGTGTAAAGTTCTTCGCTGTGTTCCGTGTCTCACAGCATTCTTTATATTTGCTATTGTTTGAGGCTTCTGACTACTTTTTAATCTATTAATGACTCGCAAAGAGCCGTTGAAAGGCAATATCTATCAGATGAAGACATGATAAAAGTTTTACAAGAACTATCTGATTATAATTTGTAAAATTATGGATATCACATTTTGCACATAATTTTTAAATTTTAGTGAACATATAAGACTGATTTTTATTAGTATTAATTATTAATTATTTACTTTTAAATTTCTTTTTAGACTTTTTAATTAAAAATTTTTAAACTGTTTGTATAGTATTTTGTATTTTAATATCTTATTGTTTTGATATAGGACAATCCATAAGAAGCGCTGGTCAGTATCTGTGGATAGCATTTAAGCCTTTTGATTTTAATTCAGGAGTATCTTTTAATGTAACAGTGCATGGTATGTATTTATCAAATAATTCTTCTGTATTGTATTGTGTTATGTTGTGTTATATGTGTGTATGTATGTTTTCCTAGTTACAAATTTTGTATGTATGTTGATTTTCCAAACGTTGCCTTTCTTTGCATATAAAAATTAACAAGGAGGATTAAAAAGCTTTTATTTAGTTAGAACTGATATTTTTAATTTACAGCTTTATATCATTGATTATTGATATAAATTTATATTCTGAAGGAGAAAAGCTATTTTAACTGCTTTTTAAGGCAGAGGGAGAGTTAGAATTTCTGTTAAACTAATTTTTGAGTAGAGTAATTTTGTGTATGCAGACAAAATTATTAATAGTATCATTTGATGAGTATCTGTTTTGCAGTCCTGACTTCTTATTCAAAATGGCTTCATATTCAAATTTTCGACAGTGGTATTATACATTTGCTCTCAAGTGGAATAAGTACTTAAATCTTGTCTGAGATTTCTCACAGCTTTATATTTATTAATTTGTTCAGTAAATATATTGTGATTATTTTTTATGACTTCAAAATTGTTCTTAAGAATTCAAAGTATTGAAAAGAGCAAAATAATATGTAAAAATTATATGCAATATATAACACACAGTGAATGATAAAATACACACAGTGAATGATAAAATTTAAAAATTTGCTTAAAAAGATATCACTCAAAAGATTTGTAAAAGTAATCATACTATGATAAATTATAAATGGTTAATTTCAGATATCTCAGCATGTAACTATAAGTTAATCTTGTTTAATTAAATATTGTTGATATTTTTAAAGCTTTCCATGTGAGTTATCTGCCAAATTAATTAAATCATTGGAATTCCTGCATCTTGGTTAGACGTGCAGGTTTGATTTATGGTATGGTAAATGTTAATATAGCTTTATAGATAAAATGATTGTAATGATAATTATAATGAATAAAAAAATACCAAAAGCACTGCCTTAAAGTTTAATTAGTGGCTGACATTTAACACATTGCATGCAGGTATATTTTGCTGCAAATTTACATGTGCAGGGGGTATTTTTTTCATAAATTTCATAGAAGTTTAGTCAGTCAATAAAATCACAATAAATTGAGACACAACACCATACACACTTACAGTGACCATTATATTTGTATAATACCCACTTTCCAGCACAAATCTATTAAATACGTACTTTTATGTGACCTGTACTCTGGTGACAGACTACATGACATATTCTAAAAACATGAAAATATATTTTTTCCTCTTGCAATATGCTAATAGTGCTTCATTTTGAAATCATGGCAGGGTCCACCCTTTAGTTTCATCTGAAAAAAACTTGATTATTAATAGTATCATTTGGGTATTTCTGACTTAACTACTTAACTGCCAGCAGGAGGTTCAATTTGTGCCAAAAGCAAATTTGGCAGCAAATTAGATACCATACTTTGATTGTAAATTTAAGTTTGAGGATGTCGATTCTTAAATATAAACTTCTCAGAGTTAATTGCTGATGTGGTAGTTATCACAGTTTTTCTGCCATATAAAATTGGCAAAATTTGACTGGAACTAACTGCTTGTGGCCAAAAGTAGATAAATTATATTGCTGTTCAAAATTTGATGTGGCTTCCTTCTCACTGTTATCACCTATGTATTGTTCTCACTGTTATCCTTCTATGACATTTTCATTTATTGATAAGCAGGGGGATTGTGAAATACCTGGCAAAAGTATAAATAGTATAGGGACACTGAAATTAGCAAATTTTGTAGTGGAATGTATGTGGAGAAATAGAACTTTGAGGTCGTAGAAAGTATGTCAAGATCAAGTACAAATCATTATTTTCATTGTGGATTTAGAGTGATATGCATCACTACAGGAATATAGAGTTCCTGAATATGCATTTTATCTATGGGGCTGTAGACTGAATGGAAGATCTGTTGAGAGTATGTGCAGAGAATGATTCCCGAGTCGACAGCTGGTGAATCTCTAAGCATTTGAGCATACACTCCTGTTCAAAATTATCTTTACATGCATGAAATCATAAAATCTCTCAGAAACTGTGAACTGTAGTTTTATAAATTTGTATGGAATGATGAATAACATCATAATAGAAGCACAAAGGAAAAAAATTATAAGCACTGCATATGATATAATGCTGAGCATGAAACAATAAAAATGGTAATAATATGTTACTAAGAAAGTTTAGAAAGTTAAAAAAAAAAAAGTCACAAAAAATTAAAGCTTATGAATTTAATATGAAATATAATCTCTCCTGACTTGCATGCACATATCACGTTTTCATGCTGGCAGTTACATTGCTCACCATAATTTAAGAATTGAGTTCCACTCCTTATACCAATGCAGTCTTCAGGGCATTTACATCTCTAGAAGCAGAATATCTTCATGCAACTGCTTTTTCTAGGTTTCTAGGTTGTCACAAATTGTCTATCACGTTAAGATCGGATGATTATTCTGGCCATGGTATTTATTTAATCATTGTCTTCACTTTCAAGGAATTTTTCAATGCGATTTGCTTGATGTAGATGAACATTAAAGTCCATGAATAAAATGAGATTCTTGCATGAGGTTCTAAGACCTCTTCCCGATATCACTGGCTGATCACAAATCTACTGTTGAAAATATACAGTTGTACATCTATTGATTATTATTCCTCCACATATCATCACATCTGCATTATCAAATCGCTCACGTTTCATAAAATTCGAAGGAAGATGTTGCGTTCCTGATTTTGTTTAGATATAAAGCATGTTTAAGTAAACCTCAATTCAACAGTAATCAACATGGGACTATTCTTGTTTACTCCAGTTCTGATATTGATTGCACAATTAAAGTGATCCCTCTTCTGTTGTGAAGACAATTAAAGTGACTCGTTTTTGTAGTTTTCCTCATGTGTAACATGTGTATGAGCCATTTTTCCTTAGAAAGTCTTCCGCAAAGGCATTCCTTCCCTTAGGCAGATAGCCCTCAAGTGCTGTACCATATTCAAGTAAATCAATCGAAGCTAAGCGGGAGACCTTGCTGTTACAGTGGACAGTTTGGCAGGTAACAGCTTGAGAAGCAGCCTGTTATTCCTTTATGACTTTGTCCAGGTCTCCTTACAACTCTTGAGTTTTAAAATTGTTTCCATCGCATAGAGACTGTCATTACTCAAACATCTCACAGCTTCCATGGTTGTCTTCTCTCCTTCTAAAAGGCCATGAATAAAATGAATCACTTTGAGTAATAAATCACTTTGAGTCTTTACACACTGACATCAAGCACTGTATTGTGGAAATTCACTCAGATATTCATTTTGCATGAAACAGTTGATTTACCATCAGATGATATAATGCTTTGATTTGCATATCAAACACCATCTGATCACTTTTGATTTGATAGTACTAATTAATTAGACATGCCTTTCATTTATTACGTGCAAAAATAGATTATGTCAATAGGATATTGCATAGAATATTATTATTTTGGGGTATATTAAGATAATTTTCGAATGAGTGTATTAACCTCTACTGTGAATATTTTCTGACACGCATTCCATTGCAAAATCTGTTTATTTCAATCCTCTCTACCTACTTTAATGTACTTGCCAATATTTTAGTATCGCCCTCTGTAGTTCCTGCCCAGTTGGCATTGTTGGTACAAAAACCATCTGTAATTTTGCTTAACAGCATTGGATCCAAGTTCAGAGCAGTTTTCACTGCCTTATTTGTTCTAAGTATATAGTTTTTGTTATAACAGTGTTATATAGTGTTTGTTCTGAGTGAATATTGTGTATTCGGATGTTTGTTAGTCTGTTTTGTCATTCTAACAAGACAGCAGTTGAATACTGTTGAATGGAAAGTTCTTTCAAGGATTTGATCATAAAGAAAAGGGGGTTAGAGATCATGGGATTTGCCAAGGGGGCTTCGAATTGGGTTGGATGTGTAGCAGTGAATGTGCTCAATTAGCTGACATACTAAAATCCCAGGTGACTAGGTAGTTGTCAAGATGTCAGCTTGGAAGTGATGTATAATTTCAGTGAAAAGGAATTGGAACATCATGATGTTTTAGCAGAACTTCTAGAAACCTATAAATAAACTAATAAGTATGAAACATCAATGTGCAGGGGTAAATAGACATGGGAAATATTTATTGGTGTGTTATTGCCATTTCACACCACCTGAAGTTCCCAGTAGCAGCTAATACAAGGATCATCTGTTTCTGTCATCTTCCCTTTTTTTAAACTTTTTATGTTTCTTCAGCAAAAAAGTATTTGGGGAATAATTTACATTTTGATAATTTTGCTTTTCTTTAAAGTTGGATTTGATAGTTGCATTTAATTATAATTGTATAGTAGAAAGAGTCTGATGATTTTATAAAAGCACTGAATATATCAGTATGAGTTTATGTATGTTGCAAAAAAATATATGCACCCAGAAAGATTTGAGCTACAAGTATGAAACTCAGCAGTAATATAGTGTCAGGGTTCGTAGCGGTCCTTATAAGTGCTTATAAGTCCTTATATTTGAAAATAAAATATAAAGGCTCTTATAAGTGCTTACTTTTTCTTTAAAGCCCTTATTTTTTTGTTTTTAGTGCTTATTTTTTGCTTTTAGTGCTTTTTTTTTTTAAATGAACGCGCAATTTTTCCCCGTACCAAAGCCGAAACTAAATAAACAACTTTTCTTCCTAATATGGAATGTCAGATTGTGAATCATACTCCCGGAAATAGCTTTTCCCCCTTTCTCTGCATTAACATAACCTCTGGTGTGCGCGGAGAGTACAGACAGGTGCCCGTCGTTCTGTTGGTCAAAGAATTGCGAAAGCAATAGAAAATTCCGGTACATTTGGCATTCGTTTCCTCCCACCCAAATATTGCACACGTTTGAATTTCTATCAAGATCTTAATAATTTGCATTCTCGTTCCGCTTGGTCAGTTCATATTCGTGTTTATTGTGATATTATGATCGTTATGCTTGTATTATGAGCATATGTATGAATGTTTATAATAACATAGTTGCAGTAACTGCTGAAAGTAAACTTCCAAAAATGGTTGTGTTTTAACACAGATTAGCTTTCTAATGAATAATATTTGGAATGGCGTAAATAAAGGGAAAATAATCGAATAGTCAAAATAATTTCATTTTTTTGGCCAATACATTATACAGTACGAAGGTTGGGAGGATCTCCCCTTTCTCCGCAAAATCTCAAATATTGAAACTGTTACAGTTCGTTGCAAAAGAAGCAACGAACTTTTTTTTTTTTTTTTTTTTTTTTTTTTTTTTTTTTTTTTGTGTGTGTGTGTGTGTGTGTCAGTCACTTTCCAATCTGGATTGAATAGGACTAAATGTTTTGCGGTCTATCAACCCAAGCGAAGAATGATTCTATTCCGGAAATTTAACGCAGTCTGTTGAAAATTAGAATGAAAAACACCCCAAGTCTCTTTCTTTTCCTTGATTTAGTTCTTTATTCTCCCAATATCGGCAGCTGTTGAATCCGATTGCGTAATATCATGTAGAGAGGAATTACGGTGCGCATATTGCGCAATAACGTTTGCGATATTTTGCAGAGATAATTAATTTTGATGTTCGGTCCGAGATTTGTTTATGAACACTTAAAAGAGTTTTACTGTGCTTGCTAAGCAGAATATTTTTCTGTTCCGTTGGTTTGTTTTTATATGATGCACATATCGAAATGTCAAAAGCATTTATTTAGCGGAAAAATCTAAAGAACGGCTACAGTCTACCCCCCCCCCCTCCGCTCCTCTTTTTCAAGTTACGCTCGACTGTCCGAATATTCGCCAATTTTCAAGTATGCGGGTAGTTAAGCTTTTACTGTTAAAGGATGACTGCATGAAGCAAATTTCTGTCTTCTGATTTCAGAAATGTTCCTCTTTTTTACTTAAATTACTTTGCTTGCAATATCTGTTAAGGGAAAACTGATATACGATGAAAATTTAGAAAATGTTCAGAATTTAGATTTAAATTATTTAAATATCAATATGAGTGGAAAAATAAATTGTATTTATTATTAGGTTCCAAGCGAATACAATAAATATGCCTTATTATTATTTATTTTCTCTATTTTGAACTGAAAATTTCATCATTAAATCTTGTAATATAGTTTTTTTAGTTCTGCATAGTTTTTTTTTTTCTCTCATTGTAAACTAGTTCTGTAAATTGAACTGTTATTTAAAATTTTAAAAAAAAAAGTAATTATTTTCCATGGTTGAGGTTTCCCCTTTCTTGCTTATTCTCTTGTCCCCCATGCTTATTCTCTCTTAATAAATACTGCATTTCTCATATTTTAAATTACGAGTCTAATTTTTGAAGTTATGCAGTTGTGTATAATGTAATTAGACAGGTGCTTATTTTTTTTCGTAAAATGTGCTTGAAAAGTGCTTATAGGTGCTTATTTTTTGAACTAAAATGTGGCTATGAACCCTGACTGTCCAAGTAGATAAACAAGTGATCAAAAACTAGGGTGAAAAATGTATTTTATTTATGAACTTGCAAGTAGCAATACAAAGAATATGAAAATCTGTAGGTGGTAAAACCACTCCTGGGAAATATAAAAGCCAATACTCAGTTGGACATAAAGTCTGTTAAGTTTCCAATGTCCATCTGTGGTAGACTGTGCCATAAATGGAGCAACTGGTCAGCGAGTTGGGACACATTTGTATACGGCTGAATTTGTATGTCTAACATGTCCCAAATATGTTCCACAGGCAACAGCTCTGGAAATAGGCAGCCCAGTTGAGGACATTAACACGTCGAAGACATTGTTGGGTGTCTTGCTGGAAAATAGAACCTTGATTACCTGCTCTCATTGGCGACATGATTGGTTGTAAAATGTCATCAACATGCCCGGGATCAGTCAAAGTATCTTGCAGCGTGGCTAATGGTAAACTAGTGTTCCAGCTGATTGCTCCCCGTACTGTCACACCCAGTGTTCTGGCTGTGTGCCACTCAGTAACAAATGGTGCATTGGACTGCTCACCTTTCTGTCTCTAGACAGGTATACGGCGGTCATCGGTATTGAGAGAAAAGTGTAATTTGTTGCTGAAAATCGCATTTCTTCAATCAGACACTGTCCAGCTTGAGCGAGAGCAGCATCATGCAGGATAGCACTGCTTATGGTGGAGCATCAACAGCAACCATCTTAATGGACATCAAGATCTGAGCCCAGCGTCATCTAGTCTTCTGCAAATCATATCTCTGGATATCCCAGGATATCTGTGAATTGGCATCAAATCAGTGATAGCTAGCTGTTGGTGTGAATGTGGCAGCTCTTATAATTGCACAATCGTTTTGCTCATTAGCGGCCCAGGGATGTCCCGAGCTACTATGCCAGCTGATGATGCCTTTGTTAAGCAATTGTCTCCAACAATGGGCAACGACTATATTGCTTCAAACAATATGTGCGGACTGTTCAGCCAACCGGTCTCTTTTAGCTGTATGATGTGACCCCTCTCAAAGTTGGACAACTATTTGTAAATCCATCAAGTGTGTCTTAAAGGCATCTTTAGTTTCAGTGTCATGTATTCAAGCCATCAGCACAGTTGTAAATGCTCGTCACTCGCCACACCTTCCCTTTTACATTGTTCCACCAGCTGCGCACTTCAGATGCATTGTATCGCTCCATGGTGCTGATTGGTGCTGCAAGTTTAATCATTTGCATGTAGCATTTCATAGCTGTGGCTCAATTTTTTCTGGTTGAAGGTTTTTTTTTTTTTTTTTTTTTTTTTTTTTTTTTTCAACAGGGTGTATATATAGAAAGTAATCAAAGTAGTTACTTTTATATGCATGGCTTATGTTTTAAATGTATATTTTTACTCACTTTTTCATAATCATTGCACTTCATTTATTTATTTCATGTTTTAAGTTTTTCTAGCTTATATGTTATATTAACATAATTATGCTTTAAGTGTGTATATAAATGTTTCTCAAACCTTTTGTGTTTATTGCTCAGTGACAGATTCCAAGTCTGCTGCTTCACGGTAGCTGTATCATTAATAAAGTTTAATTTTAAATTTCACATCATAATAATCTCTTATTTCTATTTTTGATTAAATATCCAGTTTTCATTAATCAATGAAATAAAACTTAAATTCAACAAATAACTGCTGAAACTCCTGTTCATCTGCTCTATTAGTTTCACTGTTACTGTCAAATTAATTCTCTTATGAATTATTTTAATTCACTTTATTGTTATAGCATTTTAATACAGATCTAATAACTGAGCCAGCCCAAAAATTTATTGTTGAGTTTAAAAAATATTAATGCTGTGCCCCCCAAAAAGAAAGAAAACTTATTTAAAATTTGGGCTTCCGGGGTGCACATGTTCGGGTGAAGGAATGCATTATTCAAAATTTGATGCCTCTCGGTACCATTGTATTTTCACAATGTAATGAACATACATACATATGTGCAGATTCTTCATTATTTAATTTTTTAAAAAATAATACAGGATGATGATAATTGAAAAGTGATATGCCATATGTAGTGGACTAACGCAAAATTTCATTTCAAGACTAATAGCTAATTCAGTTTGTAATATTTTATTTTTATAATGGGGAACTTTTCAGGTAATTTTTTTGATTTTTATGATGTAGAAAAAGTACTCTTGTTTACATGTAAATCGATTATTGTGTTTTAAGTTAATTGTAGAATAATATTTTCTGATGTTTCATTTCTTTGTTCAGGTCAAGGTGGTTATCATTATGGGAATGGAACTATTTCTATGAAACCTACTGATGGAAATGATACTATTTTTTTGCTAGAAGTCGATGATAATCAACTTGTTCTTCTAAATTTTACTTCATCCACTTTCAACCATCCTGCAACTTTAAGTATCTATAATGGTTTTGATACATCAGATTTATTAACTACTCTTCGTGGAAATGTTTGGTATCCAATTGTGTCAAAAGGTCCAAGAATGATGGTAATAGCTACACATTTTGAAAGTGGTGCTTTTTCAGCTGAATTTAAAGGTGTAACTTGCGGTAAGTAAAATTTCATTTCCTTCAGAACTGTGCTAGAGTGTTCAAAGTATACATAATTTGTAGTAAATGGAAGGAAATAAGATTTGTGAATATTGAAATGTAGAAAAAAAAAATCATGGCAGCTGTTAAGCACTGAATGTACAATTAAAGAGAAAAAATAAAATAACACTCAAAACCATTTGTAACTTACATGTAATATTTTTAAAAATGTTATATACATAGTTTCTTAATAAGGTGCAAAATTTTATGAAATTTTTATCAATATAAGTGAGAAAGGTTTTTTTTTTATAAAAAAAGCCTGTTTTAGCCCAGCAGAATAAAAATTTCAATTAGTAAAATAGTCATTATGTTTTAGTTGTTTTAAATCATAAGCATATTTTTCAAAGTTCTTGGAGATGCTGTTTATAAATAAATGCACTTTGCATCCCTAGTTTTAGATCGAATTTTATAAAAAGGAAAATCCAACGAAAACTGTACCATTGTGTAGACACACTATATGAATTTTTTCTGATACTGTATGTCTCTCAGCATGTTCACAGAAGAAATAACAATTATTTTTTTTTTAAATATAAGCAAATGCTTTTAAAAAAGTGAATTTTTAATGCTTTTAAATGTAAATTTTTAATTTCATCATTTCATTATGGTTTCATGAATTATTAAAATACTGTCAAAATGTGCAATTTCTCTTTAGGAAATAATGAGGAGCATGCAGTTGTCAAAGTGGATAAGCAAGCAGTATTATTTTTACATTTATTTGCAATAAACTGTTTAAGAGCTACACCATATAAATAAAACTTTTTTATCTGCCAATACAGAGACAGTGAATTTATTGTGACCAAACATGAATTGCTTGAAATAAACAAAGAATTCTATTCACACTGCTTAAGTGTTTGATATTTTAATGTGCTTAAATACATGAATGCTATATATGTGACTGTATACTGAAACATAGTGTAGTATCCCTTATATTAATTATCTTTTTATAACTTATCTTGGATTTGTTGAGAAAAAAGTATTGTTTTGGTTTTTGTATTTAGTTTGCTGTTTTTAGTAGAATTGTTATTTAATTGCTCTATTTTCCAAGTGTAATGCTGTGTGCAACACATTTTAAGAGAAAGCTACGCCGAAAAAGTAAAAATACAGGAGCACTCACATTTAATATTTAATAAATAGATATCTTGTAATTGTACTCTTTTACTATCCAGAAAAATCGAGAAAATAGAAATAACCTGAATGTTCTCGCACATGATTAAAAAGCTTTAAGAAGCTGGAGAAAAACATCTCAGTTCAGTTGTTTACTTAGTTCTTGTTGTTGATTGTAGCGAATTCGCGGTGAGATCGGATTAGCTTTCTCTGCTTTGAATTGCGTTCTGTTTAACGTTTTAGTAGTTTAAAATATAATTACTGTGAGATATTGTGATACTGTACGAATAGCTTTCAGAAAATTTCGGCTTTTTTTTTTTTTTTTTTTTTTTTTTATTATTATTATTATTTATTTCTTGGCATAAGAATAAGTTTTATTAACTTTTTATCGACTTATGCATTCAATCCATTACACAACAGTATCTTGAGGTTTTTATGTCTTCTGTGTATTTTTACTAAATGTTGAGGGACCACCTACTAATTTAATAAATGTTTTTAAATGTTGTTATTAAAATAACAGACAGACAGTTAAATAATTAAAGCTACTATGTTTGAATGTTGTTATTAAAATAATTAAAGCTGCTGTTTTTGTGACTGCTTCTTAATTTGTATTCAATATGCTTTAAAATTGTCATTTTTAAACCTCAGAAAATTACTGAAATCTGCAAATTAGTGAAGGTGTGTAAAAAAGTCAAAATCTGTATTTTATAACTGAATATAAAAATTTAATGTACCATGCACAAAATTCCACTCCATTTGTCTTTTTAAATTAACTGAAGCAGTTTGGTTTTCTGTTGAACACTACTATGAATTGCTTCAGTTGTGAGTAGCACCAAATTGCTTCTTGTGTTTTAGAATTCGTTACTACTTAAGATCAAAAAATATAATTTGTATTTCACATGGCCATGTGATGATTTCGGTAGCTTCTCTGATTTATTGAAATTTCAGAAGGTTATGTTATAGTAGAGAATATCCTTTGAATCTGTCATATATCTGAACATTCATTCTGGAAAGTATAATAGCTCTAAAAGATGATGAAGAGGAGTAGATCATTCATTCTAATTTGGCTGAAGAAGTAGATACTGCGTCAGCAAAAGCTCTCACTTTGCTGCAATTCCAACTTATTTTATGCCGTGTAATTACTATATTTACATATGAAGTAAAAGTGTATGGGCAGAATTTTTTAGAATTTATATTAAAAAAACTGGAAGTTTTCAGATTTTATATTATGCCCAAAGAGGCTTTTCTTTAATGTTTTGTATGTTACCTTTATCAAACATCATGTTCCTCATACTTAAACCGTAAAGTTAAATTTAACTACAATATCACAAAATGTGTAAAAGAGCATATCTTTAGAATTTCCGATACATAGCCTCGAAACACTCGAGATAATTTTTTTTGGTAGTGTTGCCATAAAGATGAATTAGCCTTTTCTTATATCAATAAAACAATATTTGTTTGTAGAATTTTTGAAATATCACATTATTTCATAAAGCAAGTAGTTGAGCCATTTGCGTGGCATTTTATGTACATTATGGACAGAATATCTTGAATAACTTTGTACAGCATTAAGACAGTTTGTTGTAGAAATACTTCAAGAAACACATAAAACATATTACAAGATCTGGTATTAAAATGGAAAATATATAACACATAAATATTTATTAATTTTACAAAATTACTGCAAACAAAAGTAGTATTTGTATTAATGAACTTTTACTTTGAGAGTTTACTTCAATAAATTTTTCAAAGCCCTCTAAAAATGTGGAAATCCACCAATTCATATTCTAAAGTGGTTTCACTTCTTTTGCTGCATTTTAAACCTTAACAAGTTCTGTAGGATGTTTGTTACATAGATTTACTATGTTTGGCAAGTGTAAGATTTCATGACTGCAGTTATATGATTGTGTATATTCTACAGATTGATACGATCTTTCTTCTAATTAGTAAAATTAGTCCTGTGACATCTAGTTAAGAAATACTTCGAATTATCCTTTTAAGATATGTATAATATTATGTTATAATATGCCCATACTGAAAAGAGCTATGTCTTTTTAAGTAAAAAAAAAAAATATTTTATAGTATACCTCTGAGCATGTTCTGGAGCATAAATCAAATCGTTGCTGTCATTGTGATTTTCAAAGTTATTTTTGTGCTTGCCAATGCGTAGGCAGAAATGAAATTATTTTGTAATTACACTGCTCAACATTGAAAATGCAACACCAAGAAGGAGTGGTCAGAAAGTGATGAAATTTGGAAAAAAGACAGAGACAGCAAGCAGCAATAAGTAATTTTTATTTCAAAATGATAGTCAGAATACAGAGTGAGAAAGGTGTTGGCTCAGTAAGATGTAGGACCACAGGGGACAGCGATGCACGAAGAAACACGTCTAGGCATAGAGTCAATAAGAGTGTGGATGGTGTCCTGCGGGGTGGCTCTCCATTCCCTTTCAACCATTTGCCACAGTTCGTCTTCTGAACGAGGCAGGGGCAGAGCCTGCAAACGGCATCCAATTACATCCCACACATGTTCGATTGGTGACAGGTCAGGAGAGTACGGTGGCCAGGGAAGCATCTGTATACCTTGCAGAGCATGTTGGCAGATGCGAGCACTGTGTGGTTGGGCGTTATCCTGCTGAAAAATTGCATTAGGCAACCCCTGAAGGTAGAGGATTGCCACCGGCCACAGTATTTATCCAAGTATCATTGGGCCATCATAGTGCCCTGAACACGAACTAGAGGTGACCTGGAATCGTAGGCAATAGCGCCCCAAACCATTGTGCCACATTGTCGTGCGGTGGGGCATTCCACAGTTACTGCCGCATTAGATGTCTCCACGTCGACGCCACACACGTATGCGGCGACTGTCACTGGATAAACAGAAGCATGACTCATCTGAGAGCACGATGTTTCGCCATTCTTGTCATCCACATCGCTCCAGTCTGGCACCAATCTAAACGTTGGTGTCTATGCTGCAGGGTCAATGGCAGTCTTCTTAACGGATGCCTTGAGTGCAGGCCACGTTCAACCAATCGACAGGAAATGATTCTGTTTGACATGGAAACATCCAGGGTATCTTGCAGAATCGTGGGTACAAATGACTTGCGGGATCGCCACATCTTATGGCGGATGCGCTGTTCCACGCGGCTGACGTCACTCTAGCTACACCTGCACCCCTCCTTCTTCCCACATTTCCTTGTTCCAAGCATATTCACCATAGCCGATGCACCGTGCTCGCATCATTGTAGGTATCAGCTGCGATTTTAAGTAAGGACCAACTCGCCCTTCTCAGTCCGATCACCATACCCCTCATAAAATCGTGTATCTGCTGGAAGTGCCTTCGTTGATGCCGGCCTGGCATTCTCTCCTATTACACATATCCTCTGGGACAAAAACCAACTTTCTTCGATAATTTGTCTGGCAGAAATAATGACACGAATATTGCCCATTCTGCATGTTCCTTCCCTTATGTCTTACTTCATGTGCATTGGAGAGCTGTACATTTCACATCATTCTCATAACTCAGTTACGTGCGTATACTCTAAAATTTGCATAAATTTCTGACACTCCTTCTTTGTGTTGCATTTTCAATGTCGAGCAGTGTATAAAGAGTGATATTATAACACAAAATAAACTGCTATGCCCAGAATGTAGATAAAACATTCTAACGATGCAAATTATTTTTTGTGAGGCATCATCTATACTTGTTACCATGCATTCAGTAATGCATTATGAGACTTTAGTTTGCTCTTTTGCTAGAGGGGGTTAATGAGAAATGTATGGGTGATGATTCATGATTATGTGTTGAAAAATTGCAATGTTATTTTTGTGTGTGTGTATTAAATGTACAGCAGCACATCTTTATTTTGCAATTACAAAATATTATTTAATAAAACCAGATTTGTTATAATTTTTAACAATTACATATTTAAAAAGCTATCTGTTTATTTTAGCCTAGTATGTGTTTTATGTGAAAAATTAGTAAAATATCAAGATAGTATATATTTCATTTTCGTATAGATCTAATGGTTCTAAGTAATTGTGTGACCTTATTTAAACACTGTGTCTGTAAAGTTCTGTTATATATGTATGTACATTTGTTTTCAGTTCATTTAGAATTTTCTCCTTATATATAATTTTTTTAGGTTGCCTTCAAATGAGCACACTTTCAACTGAAAGCTATATATTAACTGGAAATTGCAATAGTACTTGTGTATGGGTTATTCCACCACAAAATGTTTTTAATTTGGGTAAGTTATTCTGTCATGTTCATTAATGCCACAAAAACCGATTCTGAACAACCTTCACATAATTCGCCGTGGAGCGAATGCCGACCACGATTGAATTCATTATACCAGTTTTTACAGTACTGTGGGATTGTGGTATATCAGTGTATAAAGAATTAAGTTTATCAAAGCACTCGTGACTTGATAATTGATGTTGAAAGTTATGATAAATAAACACACAAAAATGTTCACGAGTCAATTCCAGCTGAAGATGAATTTTTCAATTTATTGTAAAAAATACAAATCAGGCTATAACAGCAAAACATTCTGAAGAAGTTATGATTAAAAATATGAAACTTTCGATTGGAATCCTATGCAATCGCCTACCAGCATTTACTGTTGCCAAGGCTAGGAAAAAAAATAGCAACCTTTGTATGCATAAATATGTAAAATATGTATTAGCAAAGAGAGCAAATATGAAAGATGTCAAGTTATTGTTAGGATATTTTGTTAATAGGTAGTGCTCCAGTAACATTAGTCCAACTGTTTTTAAATTTTAGTGAAGAAATATTGTGTGATAAAGGATTTTGAATTAATTTTACTTTTTTTGTTATTTTTAAATTTGTCTGCCCCTAATCTCGCATTAATAGCAGATGGCAACCATTAATTCAGAAATTGAGCTTCAGAAAGAGCTTGTTATTCTTTTATTATAAGCTTGTATTCTTTGTAAGAAAGGAAGGAGAAATTATCAAATTAAAATATTACATATTGAGTTTAATTTAAAGTATTATATTACACACACATGTATATAGATAAATTTAAATCCATTAATAGACAATGAAGTGCAAAAAAAGAAATAACCTGAAGTGAAATACTATGTATATTTTGTCACTTTATATTATTTATTAGAGAGTAAAATCTATAAGAATTGGAATAAAAGTAATTTTACAGGTGCATTGAGGTAATACATGCAATACATTTAAGAAGGGAAGTAATTTAAGTATATCAGTGTATATGGAAAAAAGGTAATCAATTAACCATCAAAAACCATATTAAAATTATCTCCTACATATTTTTACAATTCATTTTTTCATTCACAGTTTTTAATTTTATATATGCATGAAATTTTTATTGCTGTGTGCTACTTTAAAATATTCAGAAATTTATAGTTAGTTAATTAGGTACTTACATATTAGTGCCACTACTTTCGTAGTCGCAAAATTTTTTTAATGTGCCAAACTGTAGCAACTATGCTGCCCCTCTTTTTTCCCCTTTATTCTAAGTTTCAGTGGTTTTTATAAGCAAATCATTATATTTTTATCTTAATTTTAAAATATGCACTTGTGGAATTTTCTTGCTGAAAAAGAAACTGGTAAAATTTCTGCAGGATTAGAATATTCTGCCAAAGGGAACAGCTGCTTTAAATTTATTCTTAAAATGATTGCCATAAAATTTCCACTTGAGGAAAACAAATAGCTATTTGTAAAGTAAGTTTACTTTTTGATTTTGGGGATAAATATACCTAATTAAAATGGAAATATGTATGTATATAAATAAATCATTTTTTGCTTCTGTAAAATAGGGGCAAAACTACTCCAAAGTTAGTTTCAGCTCTTTTTTTAGAAATATAGTAAGCTAAGTTTCTTTATTATTGATACAAAATTTTTTGCTGTGTTATTTTTAAAAGCAGATTTTATTTTGTTTCTTGCTAGATCTTTTGATGAATCTTCAGTATGTGTCTTTAGAACAAGGAGATGATGTACAGATTTTACGCTTAGATGCTGCCAAAACTGTACTTGGTGCAGTTACTCCTAATATGTCTTTTGTGCCACGTCTGATTGTTGATTCTCAGATCGGAGCTTTAGTTAAAATAACACGAGGAATTTGCAAAAAGACAGATGACATTGTGTTGATAGGGCATTCAACTTATATCCCAGGTTAGTAATGCATTATGTGAAACTTTTCATTGTAATAGAATTATGAGAAGTCAATTATATATGACAATATCTTTTTTAAAGTGTGCTTGTTTCTCGTAACTTAAATGTTATTAAACAGTATTGCTGACATCATTTATAACTCCTCTATCCTGCCTGTTATCATTTGTGTATTTGTAACCCCTATATTTCGGGATATTTTAATGTAACTAATTGAACGTTTATAATATTAATCTGTTAATTATCTATAAATGAGTAAATTCTGGTAATTTTCACATCTCAGGACCCAAAGATTTATTGGATTAGCAAATTTCACATATTGCAGGTCATAGCTTTTTCAGTTTTATATATATATATATATATATATATATACATTTTTCACTTCCTAATTGTACATTAATTGTGGATTGTTTGCATATAACTAGCTAAAAATACTTATACTTTAAGAAATATTTAATCAGAATTTATAGAATACAAAACTATTATTCCATACATGTGCAATGGGATTTCTAGCACCATAAAAGGTTTTCCCCATGTGTAATGTGTATACGAGCCAGTTTCCCTTAGAAAGTCCTCCACGAAGGCACCCCTCCCCTTAGGCAGATAGCCCTTGTGTGCTTTGCCATAATTAAATACACCACAACACACCACCAACTAGCACCATAAAAAGTGCTAGACTTGAAATTTTGGATTTATTAAATTTTTGTAATATTTTGGATTTATTTCTGGTTCCCATTTCTATGACAGAAGAATCATCACAAATGCTGTTCTCAGAGATTTGTCACTTCTTAAACATGTTTGATTATTGTGCCGAATGCAAATAAACCAGCTCTGTAGTTCATTTAAGTTTGAATGCAGAATCTTGAAGTTTTAGACAAATATATAAATTCAAAATGAGTATTGAAAGTGAGCAAAATATGCACCCAAAAGTAGGGATTTAAGCAAAGCTGAAATTCATGATCCTCATTTATTCTGAAAAGAGAATGTTAACGTGAGTGGGGAAAAAAAAAAAAGTAATTTCAGTTATAAATTAATTTGCTTCTACAATCGATTGATATATAGCGCATTTTTGTTAAAAAATTTATTTGCAAATACATATAAAAAAATTGTTAAATTTGCTATGCTAATATTTCTGAAAATTGAAATTTTGTTTCTTTTCATTTAAAATTAAATGCAGATTAAATGGTCCTAGATATTAGAATGCTACTGGTGATTTTTTTAAATATTTTTCTTAAGATATTATTAAATACTCTGCTACTGCTTTATAAAAATTCCGAGACCTGAAGTTTTCACTCTTTATTTTTATTTTAGTTCAAGTATTTTGGTTTTGATATCTCATGTAACTTATAAGCAGTATAAAAAATCATGTGTCATATTTTATTTGATATTGGGAGAAAAATATACCATTGAGATCAACAAATAAATAGTTTGTATTATGTATTATGTTAAAGCACTACAGTCAAAAGTCGGACTCGTCGGAACTTTGGCGATTCTGGATTATCGGTTTTTATGGATCATCAGTTTAAATGTGGTAAGATGCATGCAGAAGTTATAAAATTAAAAATATGAAACCGTAATTTATGAAATAAAGAGCATTTATGATCTAAAGGGTATCAAAATTTACCAAAAAAAAAAAAAAAAAAAGCTTAATATTTATTTGTTTACTTTATTAAACATTTCTTTCAATGGAAGTTGTTTAAGTTGCTACGTTTCATGTGATAATACTTTCTCTTTAATTCTATTAAACAGACATAATTTCTTGTTTAGTTACAAAGTTCCGCTGTTCAAGTCCTATAATTGCTGTGTCGAGAATACCAACTAATTTGTCAATCGAAATTTTTTCGTTTTCAATAACTTCTGTCACTTTCATCACTATCGGAAGCGAATTATAATGACGAGGAACTTGTTTTAAATCATATCAAAGACGGAGTACATCGAGATGAAATACTACATTTAGTAAGGAATTATAAGCCAAATAAAATAAAAACATCTGACCTGAAGATAAGGATAGTGCTGACAGATCAACTTCCAATTCATCGCGCGCCACGGCGTTCCCCCCCGCCGAGCAGCGTGAAATTGATAAACAGATTTTGAATGGTTAGAGAAATGAAGGATATGATGCCTTTATCCATTTTTTGCAGCAATTCCACTTTTTGTTTAATGGACTTCAAAACATATACTTTCGCTTTGTAAATCCTTTACGTATTAGTAAATATATATCGGAAATTCTATTTGACATAATCGAAAGTTCAAGCTTACTTTTATAAAATTGCTCTAACAGTCTGCAAAAAATAATAAGCCGGATCCAATTCGAAGATTAAGGAACAACGCAATCTGCAACATTAACTGAATTAGATAATTTTAGCTTAGCTTATACCGTCTGTTATACATTAAACGCGCATGCGCACATGCATATTCGCAGCCGTAAAGGTCTTACGCGCATGCGTCAACGGGACACGTGCAGAAAGTTTGTAGCTTTGAGGTCCGGATTGTGGGTGTCCGAATTAACGATTTTTGACTGTATAATATTTCTGGTCAAGCAAAATATTTGATTACTGGAAAATATATTAATTAACCTTTAACTTCCATTTTAACTTTTCAAATAATCAGATTTAGAGTGTGGATAGTTGTCTGTTGAAACTATGATCTATTATCCTATTAGCATCTTAAAACTGCACTCAACAATACAAAGCCCCCCTTTTTTTTTTAATTTTGAGCTTAATGTTATTTGCTATAAAATTAAATTTTTATTATTATTTTATTTGTGTATTTTTATTCTCGAAGTGTGACTACCATGTGTAAGACCTCTTTAAATTTCTCTCCGGAACATAATGCTCAATTAAAAAACAGCATCCACTCTTGTTTACAATATTTTAGTTGAATATAAAGGTCAATGTTGTTGATGATGTGTATTCAGCTGCAGTTGATGTAATTTTTTGCTTCATTTATAATACAAAAATATAATCCTAAGAAGCATTTCCTAAGAGGCATTTCCTACTCTATTTGAGCACTATTTGTTAAATGACTAAATTTATCAGTAGTGTCAGATGACATTGATGGATGTACCTGCTGAGTGACTAATAAATGCCAGTAGCAATTGAAATATTAAATATTTCGATTTTAGTAATTAATAATCTAAAAATATTAAAATTTAGTAACATTATCAGTTTTTACAGTTATTCTTATTTTGTCCATAAATCTCTGTCAGGTGAAAGTGTAGTTAGTTAATGCTGGGATCATACGAGAAACTCAGTGAAACACAGCAAACAAAGCTAGACTAATTGAACATTGATATCAGGTTATCTGATAAAGGTATATGTGGTGTATTCTCTAGTTGTTTCAGAGTTGCACATTTTTAGCTTGTGTAACATTTTCTACAGCTTGCATCTAGTAGTCAGTGCGCAAATATATTTTTAAATGTGAAATGTTTTACTGAAGGGTATCATGGAAGCAAAATTGTTATAGTCTGAGAAATTAGATTCATTTCTTTAACTGGTATTGTAAATCTGTAACTAGCTAATGAGGTCCTTAATCATACATTGTTCGTGAAATACTCTATATAAGTACATAGGTAAGTCTGTAGTATCACAGTTGTATTGTAAATGGTATCAAAATAAGATTGAGCTTTTTTTTCTCCCTCATACTTTTAGATTGTAACTCATTTTAAACTTAGACTAACATTTTAAAAATAGATTTAGTTATTTTCAAATATTAATGTTAAACTTTTGATTTTGTATATTTCTCTGAAGTGCTGTTTTTATAATATGCTAATAAGTATTAAAATTTGAAATATATATACTTATAGTCTCCCCTTTTTTTTAATATGTTAGACAGAGTATCTCTGATTTTGAAAACCTGCTACTTCAAATAGGCTTTTTCTTCTTTCTAGGCTTTTTCAAATTTGTATTGCTGATATTGTTTCTCATTTTGTCATTAAAAATTCTTTTAGATCTGCATGATGCCATTTTTTCAGGTTTCATAATTATTATTTTTTTAAAGTAATGTTCAAACAAATAGTGTGTATTTTATATTAAGGAAAACTTTTCTTTCCCTCCATACAATATGCCAACTTTGCCTGATTTAGTTTATTCATGTCTGATTTTGTCAGTACATATTGACTTAAAAGTTGTGCTGCTTTCAAAAGATTTGTTCTTAGAATGGATTTCATTTTTAATAATTGTCCTTAATGCTGTTCTAAAATATTCAAAAACATTTTCTAATTCCTTCAAAAATAGATTTTAAAAAAAAGAGTAGATCATATTGGACTATTCTTTGATGAAGAAGCCCACCAACAGCTGAGCACTAAAGTTGCTGAATACTGGTAGTTAAAAATAGAAAAGAAATACGTCAAATTGAAATATAAAAATTAGGAAAGCAAAAACATTGGGTTTGGTATAGATTTAGTCAAGAACTCGACTTCGAAGGCAAACAAGTACAAGCCCCCCTTTACATCAGGAGCAAAAAAATCTGCAAGCAGTAGTCGTGTTTATACTCTACAGCAATATGAATGAAAAGATGGTACAGTCTGTCAGCTATCTGCCAACAGATGGCACTTTGATAGTTCAGGCAAGGTTCAAAGTGCTCTGCCATCATTCAAATAACCAACTCTGATAAAAAGCTGATTTGTTTATTATCATTTTATTATGCACGATCCTTCCATTCTTAGCATTAATTGCCATTTCTATTTAGTTCCCCCCTTTTGTTGTTGTTTTCACTTTTTATGCTTTGCCTTCCTAGGCTTGGTAGATCATAAAGGCCAAATTCTTGCAGTTAGTAACAAATTCTTGTTTGAAGTATTAGGCTTGGGGTGGCCAATTTTTTTCCCCAAAAAGCAAGGTATAAGAATTCTGGATAACTGAAAGTAGATTTCCCAAAAGGTTTAACTGGATAATTCTGTATCACTTTTTATAGTTCATGTGATTATTTAGTATAAGATAATTCTGTATCACTTTTTATAGTTCATGTGATTATTTAGTATAAATGCAAATAATAACTGTGTTGGTCTTTCAGTATATTCGTATAAAACATAAATTTTAAAACTTTGTGTGATATACTGTCCTCTTCCCCAGAAAGGAAACCAAGATTTTTTTTTTTTTTTTTTAAGTTTATAATTGTTAGCTGATTTTAATTGGAATAAATTGAAAAAGAAATGAGTCTTAGCAGTTCTTACAGTCATTAAAAATTTATTTTGTTCATTTATATATGCTGTATGTGTGTGTGTGTAAATGAGGATTAATGCTGTGGTATGAAAAACAAAGCTTTCTCTCTCTCTCTCTCAACTCTAAAGCAAGTGAAATGTGTACAACACAAAGAAGCTGCTATTCAACATACAAAAATTGTTCAAAACTCAGGACTTTTTAAAATAAAATCAGGAATATATATATATATATGCAGTTAAGTTTTCCTGCACAAAATGAGAGGCTTAACATTTGGAGATAAAAGCTAACCCTAAAACCATCTAATTAATTCTTTAAATACAAATTGTATCATCAGACACATTTTATATTTTCCAACATAAGTTGCAACCAAACGTATTTGTAGTATCATTCAGTAAAATTTGTGGTGCATTATCAATGTGACGTGTTCTGTTTCATTACGAAAGTAAGTTGCAGAGATGGCACGCAATTTGAAATGGTTTAAAAGTACTGGATGCATGATTTAAAAAATAAAATTGGTAATTGCTACAAAAGCATGTCATAGCAGGATTTTTTTAAAAAGCCCAAAGGGCATTAGCCCAGAAGGGCTATTAATTTCATTTTGACATTTTGCGTTGAAAACTTTAAATATCAGCTTCACTTTTCAAATTGTTGCCGCTAAATATTATCACCCTGTGTTATATTTAAAGAAATGAAATAGTGAAGAATCTGCATAAGTGTACGTTTCTTGATTGTGATAAAAGACAATGGTACCTAGAGCCATCAAATTTTGAATAATGTAATTCTGCACCGCATATAGGCATCTGGAAGCCCTAATTTGGAATTTGTTTATTATCGATTTAATATTTTGTAGCACTTCAAAAAATTTTTGACTATAAACTCGATGATTTCAAAAGCGAGCAATGGCAACATTGTAGGAAAAAAAAACATTTTTATCTCCAGCATGCGAGACTGAATTCGGAAATTCGAAAGCTCAGCAAATCAGAAATTCTAAAGATATGCTCGTTTTAAAATTATTTTATGATATTGCTGTAGAATTGAATTTTATGGTTTAAGTGTGAAGAACATGATATTTAATATATAAAGATAACACAAAATGTTTTAAAAAACATCCCTTTGGCCATATGAAAGCATTCATTTTTTTGGGGGGTGAGCAAAGCACATTTAAAGGGCAGAAAGCCACAGTTGGCCAAGTTTGTATGCTGCTGTATATTTTCAAATTGCAGATTTCGAATTTTTTTGCATATTTATTGTAATTTAGTTTTCATTTATATTTGAGAACAACATAGCAATTTGCTTTAAATCTATAAAATTAAGTTGAATTTATTAATATTATAAGCAGTTCCTTTTATCTGTTAATTAAGAGTAAACAATGCTTCAAAATTTAATTAATGGATACATTGTCTTGGACAGAAACATAGCGAGGCAAAATTTCGAATTGCCGTAGATAAAAGATTTATTTTGGAAACTTACGTTTGCATTATATGTTGCTAAAAGAGTGTGACTAAAAGAAAAGAAAACAAATAGTTTTGTGAAAATAATTTTAGAAATAGGTTTAAATTAGACCCTCCAATTCAAATAACTGGTCATATGGGTTTCAGCAAAGGCTGGCTACTATGCCAATGAGCTCAGTTTTGAATCTAGTGTAAGCACAAATGTGTGTGAACCATAATGAAATGGAATTTTGAGGAATGGAGCTGAAAAAGTTGTGAATAGGAAAGAAAAGAGTTAAGAGCTTAAGATTCAATTGCTTGGAGTGCTTTCATTAAAAATTAAAATGCATATTAAGCAGATAGTCCTTTTCTAAAAGGCCTGAAAATGTAATAATTAAGTTTTTATTAAGTAATTGTATTTCAAAGAAATTTTATTGGCCTAATTTTTCAGTTTTCTTAAGTTGTGTTTAATTCAAGGATATTGTTCAGTTAATATGAATTTAAGTGTGATGTCTAAAAATTTACAGATTTTTGAGTCAACAGGTTATTATCAAAATGATACTAAAATGAAGTCTTCCCCAACTTATAGCCTCAGTCTGTCCTTCTTTCAAGACCATAGTTCCTAATTCTCTACAGATCCAATGGTGTAAAAATTAGTTTTTCAAGTGTACCTCGACTCTTATATTAAATTGGACTGTAAAGGATCTGACTGCAGTTCTTTGAAACACGAGTGATCGCATTTTACTCATCTCTCTCTTTTGTTGTTGTGTGTTTTAAATACTCTTTTATTTCTCCAACTGATATATGATTTGGGTATCAACAGTGCAATGCAGGTGAATTCAGCTTTAGCTGTTGAACATTGATTTAATTAAATAATTCAATCTGGTCAGCAACATTTTTTAAGTGCAGAATAAGTATGTATTTATGTTCTATTGTTTTTGTTTTATATTATTCTCAGTCATTATGTTATATGAAATCTGATTTATATTTTTTCCCTCTTACAGCCTGCAGGAAGACAATGTCTCCAAATGTATCAGAACTGTTTCAAGTCACTTCTCCTTTGTACCCAGACACATATCCTGTTCGTGCAAATTGCAGATGGGTTATTTCCACTTCAGAGACCAACTTAGTGCATATTGCTTTCGATAAATTTAAATTAAAACCTAATCATTGTGTTACAGTACAAGATTCTGGAAATAAAACAATTTCTTTTGAAGGAAATGATTTACCAGATGATATCTTTGTAAAGGGTGGAACAGTTATAGAGTTTAATTCAAATAACTGCAAGAAATCAGAGACTGGATTAACACTGAGTACCAGTGAAGGCTTTTTATTAAATGGCACAGTTGCTGGTAAGGAAACTTAATATACATAAAAAATTATGACTATTTTACTTTTTTTTCCCTTCCTGTGAATTCTTTTTTTCCTTTTTAGTTTCATTAGTGGTGTAAAATACCATTGAAATGAAATACTAATGAAAAGGTTAGATGAAGTATGTCTTCTTTAAAATTAGTCAAAATTCTTTCTTTTTAAAACAGATCAAGTCTAATATTAAATTCTTTTTAGTTTTAAATGCAGATATAATGTTAAATATCTGCACTTTTTTACAAAACTTACAATTTATTGCTGTGTTTCATTCTGAATTCATTAATGACATTAGTAAACAGTGATTTTGTTGCTGAGAAAAATGTATACTTGCCCAAGCCCAAATAAATTGTGATGTCTGTGAGTTTGAACTCAGTTTTTACATGGCATACCAATATTTGAAGTAGGACATTTACCCAACCAAGTCTTTTTACTGAAGTTGAATTCATTCGGCTTTAAACTTTCAAAATTATTTGTCTCAACTATGTATCAGATTATAGATGTATAAAATACCTAACATTTTTATATCAAATACGTCAGTTGGTAATATATAAACATATTTTTCAGATGAGCTTGAATGTAGTCGGAATGCAAATCATTGTGTGTCCATCCGTTGCTTACATGTTTAAGTAAACAGATGATTCAAAGGATTGAATTATCAGTTTTAAAAGGCAGCTAATGCTTTGTTCAGCTATATTCGTTGTTGTTGTAAAGACTTTCAGCATGTGACTGAAGCTAAGCTTTTTAACTTGAGAAGTCTAATGTCAAATGATGCATTCCTAGTTATGCTGTTAGTTAGTTTCCACCAGTTCCAAAAGAACTAAATTCATTTATATTTTGTTTCTCTTGTGATTGAATTTTTTTTCTACATAGCCATAACATACAGTTTAATGAGATTAGTTTTATGTGAAGCTGAGATTTTCCTTTTCTTCACTAAGGCTGTATATATAAGCTGTATTCTTTCATCAGGCGTAATATTTTCATAGTTAGTCCCCACCCTCCTTTTTGAATGATGTAGTCCTAATCCATTGCTTAATTAGTCTATTCATTTTTATTTTTTCTTAAAGAGGAATGCCTTCTTGCAGCATTTATCGGTAATGCCACTGAATTTAGATTCGAAAAAAGGACTTCATGGTGTACAGAGGCTGTTCACACATTTTTTAGACGATGTATATTGTATTCACAAAACTAAATTACATAAAATTCTTGTGTTTTAAATGTTCTGTTTGACATTCCTTATTCTGAACTATCTTTCGACACCGCAATTTCGAGTATAATAATGCCTTTTGAAGTGGCAGAAGAGGTATTCTATCCCATTCCTCCCGAACAGCTTTTCAGTGTCCTGTTAGGGTTTTGGGACTCCGTTTGGATAATGCAGTTTTTTTAAAAGTCCGAAAGCACAAAAATCCATAGGTGACACATCAGGAGATTTAGTAGGGATATCAGTGAAGGGTATGGCTTTGATACCAGTTTTTTTGTTCCATTTCTTTTAGGAAATTTACAGTGGATTTTGATGTGTGACTGCTAGCTTTGTCCTGATGGAGTCTCACAGATTGATGGCACTACGGATAAAGCGATGGTATTTCATTCAGAAAAATTGGCGATAAAATATGTTCCTGATAGTATTTAGAGTTAATCTTGACATTTTTTTGCACTCTCTTTATTTTTAACTTGCATTATAAGAAAAACCAGCAACAATCATGAATCCCTTAGAAAAACTTTCTTTCGATTCTTTGAACCATGTACATAAATTTTTTTCTTCCCTTTTATGATAATAAATGGCTCTTTTTTATTACAATCATTTAAATACACTCATGCTTCATTTATTGTGACAATTGTTTTCCATTTTTCTTTGGATAAGTGTTTCTCATATAGAATTCTGCAGCGTGTCCTGCGTTGAGCGATATGCTTTGGAAGAAGACGATGCACATTGCGTTTTTTCGCTTTCTTAAGATTTAAATCAACGTTTTATTTACAGTGGACGCCAAGCATTTTAATGATCTTGCAACTGTCCTTTGACTAGGAGGATTTTTCTTTTAACATTAAACAACGTACCTTTGCAATAGTCGAAGATGTCCATTTTTTCCTTGGATACTTGTTTAGAATTTTTGTCCCACTTGAGGCTCCAATTTAATGTTTTTTTTCTTTTCTTGTTGATGATATTACCTATCGATGCTTTAGATATCACAAAACCATGACTCTCACATCGTTTTTGGATAACGGAGTATGCATATTTCTCTTCGGAAAGAGCGTAAATATAGCCTTCGAACCACTGCTTTGTTAAATTCGCCATTTTGAATAAAAACAAAACTTTCAAGCCACAGAGGATAATTTTGACTTTTAAAAACATAGTACAATTGCAATTACTTCTTTTGCAGCAAACAATTTTTTATTACCGCTTACCAAAATCATCTAAAAAATGTGCGAACAGCCTCTGTAATTTCAAATAATGCTTGAATTTGGCATTAGTGTTTTTATTGTTATCATAAAAGGTAATTCATTTACATTTCGAAACTCGGAAAGCTGGACAACTGGCTCATTCAAAAGTGTCTTTAAATGTATTTGGTATGAGCCAGTTGTCTAGTGTTCTGAGTTGTATGGCAGCTTAAATTCAGTCTTCATTTATTGACTGTATTTTTGTTCAGAAACTTTTCTTTCTGTTACTTGATATGAGTACTATATTTTATGTTCTTTATATAACTAGTTATAAAATATTTGTAGTTCGGTTATAATTAAAAAAAATAAAAAAATGAGAGCAAGTTTATTCCAGTTAATGTTCCTGCTTCTTAAAAATGCTATTTTCCATTTTGAAAGGAAAACTTAGTTGTCAAGAATTTTAAACTAAATGAAGTTTGAATTTTGTTGATAACTATAAATTTTATAGAGTGTTTTTTCATGCAGAAAAGCATAATGATTATTAAAGAGACAAACATTGTTGAAATTCTATTTCTTATGCATTACTATCACATTATTTTATACTACTGTACAAACTTTCCTATAGTGACTTTTCTCCAATCATTTTGAGTAGCAAATGAGTGGTATTCCTCATAGAATGTCAGAACTGTACTTAGGATATATAGTAGAATTCCAGGGGAGGGGGTAATTTTTTTCAAATCTAGGATGCTTCTATTTTAAGAAGTTTATTCACTTTCAGGGCAATCTTTTGGCATAATACAAATAGTAATTGACATAATCCACCAATGAATGTGGGTATTTAAAAGGTCCTCTACAGGGCCAAGATTTCAAATTCACTCTTTTTATATATAAATATATTGTGATCAATTATTTACCTTGAAATTTGTGTTTACTTTTCAAAAAATGAGAAGATTTAAAAAACAAAATTGTAAATAACTGGTTTTGAGAGCTTTACTAATGAAGTCTTAGTTTACTTCACTATTCCATCTAAAAGGAGTTCAGTTAAGTGTGATTTCATTATTAATGGTGATGTAAGGACAATGTTAGTAGGTGCATGAATCATTACTCTGTCTGGAAGATTATTTGTCAACTGTTAATTATTAGTTTTTCTGCAATAAATTTATTGTTTTCCTTTGGGTTATTGTATAAATACAGTGGCTTCCAAAAGCATGCAGTGGTAAATTTTACAAAAATGGAAAAGTGAAGCTTTGATTGACACCAAAATTGCACATGAAGATAGCAAATGTGTTTATGCAGGAAAGAAAGCAAGCATTATGTATGAAGCTGAAAAAAATATTTAATATTTATAAGTTATATGATCCTATTTAGGCCATTAACAGACCGATGTTTAAAGCTAAAAGCAAACAAACAAAATTTGCATTAATAAGGTATATACACACTTATCTTCTGATTTCAGAGCAGATCTGGGCTTTCCATGAGTGTAATGTCAATCTAAGATAGCCAGTTGAGGTGTTGACAGTACCACTTTAATCTTGCCCCTTTCCAATTATTAGAACAATTAGTAGAACACAAAAACTTGCTAATTAGGTGTATAGTCCATTCATATGAAGCCTACAGTGCACAGTACCAGCAGATATTATCATATCAAGTGCCCCTGCAACCAAGGGTGTAACAGCTATAGAAGCCTCTCGTCAATACAACTTACCTTCTATACTCACTACAGTCGAGCATCTATTTAATGAACACTCTATTTTATGAATTCCTCTATTCAGCAAAGATTTTTACGGGATTCTGCCTAAGGTGTGAATTTCCTCATATAAAAAAACTCCAAATAGCGAAGTATGTTCTCTATTTAAGTTTTTTGAATGGATCATTTTTTGAGATTTTTCTTCCTACTTAAAATATTTATTTGTTTGTTGTAACACATACATGTATACAGCTGGGGTCTTTAAAAAAAGCAGGTGCCTCATTATATGCATTTGCCCATCATCTTGTTAACGCTTTACCAACCGCTAGCACTTCAACAGCATATGCATGTCCGACTGGACACTCAGGCGCAGATTCTTCCTGTTCTCAATAACTGTCAAAACAATCTGATAAACTGTCTAAATAAAACACTTCAGAACTTTTTTTTTTTTTTTTTTTTTTTTTTTTTGAGAGTACTAATGTACCTCAACACTAATAATAAAATGCAGATGATATAGCAAATGGCAATTGTTTATCCCAATGGCTACTAATTGATAGGCTATTTTTAGGTAGCCCCGAGAAAAAAGCAATTAATAGGCTATCGTTCGGTAGGCGTTAGCGAAAAAAGCTGATTAATAGACTATCAGTCAGTAGGCTTTGGCGAAAAAAGCCGATTAATAGGCAATCAATCGGTAGGTGTTGGTGATAAAAAACTGATTAATAGGCTATTGGTCGATGGGCATTGGTGATAAAAAGCCGATTAATAGGCAATCGGTCGGTAAAGTGTTAAAAATCTCCCAACCAATCTTCCCAAGCCAGTTTGAAGTTATGCAACAGCTGCATTATTTTTATTTCTGCTTTTCTTGCCTTTATATTGCAAATTCTTTTTGAAGTTAATTATGTATTCAGTGATAAAAATGTTGAAACAAAAGTGTCTAAAACTGTGAGACAATTGTTTGAAAGAAAAAATGCTGATTCTCGATGAAATGGACAAAGATGTAAAGAAGAGAGACATTGTCATAAAGTTTGGCCTTTGGTAAAGTAGTTTATCTACAGTTCAAAAAACTGGGACAAAATTTCATCAAGCATTAAAGTTTGGCCTTTGGTAAAGTAGTTTATCTACAGTTCAAAAAACTGGGACAAAATTTCATCAAGCATTGACTCCATCGATACTGGTGGCAAGCATAAGAAAACGTACAGCGAGAGGGAAACCAAATTACTGGTACCAGGGCTGTTGATACTCAAAACAGCTACGGATGACTGGAGAATTCAAAAAGAGACATGAAGTAGTTGCAAAAACCATATGTGGCAAAAGCAAAGATGGTAATGAAGATAACTGTGCCATATGACAAGATTTAAAACTAAAAGAAGTCATGGAAATCTACAAACCAGAAGATGTATTCAACATCAACAAATTTGGTTTATTTTATCTCTGTTTACGGCAGAGAAAATTAGCATTCAAAAAAATGTTTGGAGGCAAGCACAGCATAGTTACTGTACTGCTATGTGCAAATAGGAAAAGGAAATGAAAAACTGAAACCGTTACTTATAGGAAAGAATAAAAATCCAAGATGTAAATCACTGGAAGTAGATTATGATTTAAACAAAAATAGATGACCACAGACATTTTTGAAAAGTTGCTAAAAAATTTAGATAAATACATGGCTGTACAAAAACAAAATATTGCTCTAGTGAGAGCAAAATTACAGTGCTCATCCTCAAGATATCAAAAACAAATATTTTCCCTCCTCAAATACTTCTGAAAAACTGGAATCTGTGGATTTAAGGTTTGTAAAAATTGTTAAGATGCGTAGAGGCTTATCACAAAAGAGTTTTAAAATTTTTTCCTAATGGGAATTGAAAGTAAATAGCATTTGTGTGATTGCATATCTGAACTTTCAGAAGTAAGGAATTGGGATGTTTGTTTAGAAAACTGTTCATGGTTGCTTTAAAAAAGCTGTCTTCTTCACTAAGATTGATACTAGTGGTGGTAATAGTAATATCAATGATGCAAAATGAGGATATGTGACTGCTGTTGAAAAATAAAAGACAAGTAAATAATGAACAATTACAAGATTATTTATGTCCAGATAATGATGTTGAGACCTCAGAAAGTCTTACTGAAGAAGATATATTGAAGAGCATTAAAAATAGCAGCCAGAAAGCAATTAATAATAATGATGATGATGACAAAATTTTAATGAAAATGAATGTATAAGATCTTGCCTAAAGATAGGTTAAATGCATTTTGATACCTTACAATGCAATTTTTATTTTGAAGAAAGTTTTGCTCTTTATTAAAAGCCAGAAGATATTTTCCGTACATTACGAAAATGTGAGACATTATGATATGAAATGTTGTTCTTGACAATCAAAACAAACTAAAGTACCTGATTATTTTTCAAAATCAGTTTATGTAATTGTCATACATAACTTTGGTGGAATGGATACATTAGCATTTGTAATTTTGTTTTTTATTTTACTACTATTTTACATTTAAAAAGTCTTGTCATAAATCTTGTTTCATCATTACCTCCATTTAGCAGAGTTTTTTGCAGGATTCTGCAGCTTCATTAAATAGAGGTTTTGACTATGTATTGACAGAAAGGGTAGTAGTCCTTGATCAGTTGATACAGGTTGCAGGACAGTTGTTTGACTTGTTTCCACATTCAAGAAATTACTGAATGATTAATATCAAAAAAGAGAAAAATCTTTGATTGACTGTTCTAAACACTTCATAATTTAAATTAACCTTCTTGAAACCGTTCGAAATGCCGGCATCTTCATCGACTAATTTTTGGACAATCAATCGTGATTAACTGTAACATATGACATTTGTGTACTACTGCAGTTTTTAGATACTCAAATTCAAATAGCTTTTGAAAATTGCTAATTTGTATTGTATGCTTAACATTTGAAAGCCTGTATATTAACATTTATTATAACTGAGAAAAACATGTGTGAACATTTGGGGAGGGACTGGACATATGCCATGTATAAAAAATGAGTTTTTCAAATATAGCGCTTAAAATTTCTTTGAAATAATGTATTGGAATAGTAGAGGGTGATTCTTTTAGGATTTGCCTATTTCATTAGGCTGTAGTTTTGTCAAATATCTGATTTTAATGTGGTTTGTGGCAAAAGATTCAGGAAGGAGTAAAATTTAGTGATTCGTCATTAAAATAGGACATTTTGTAACAAAACTACAGCCCAATGAAATAGGACAGTTCTAACAGAATCACCCTGTATTTTTATGTATATTTAAGTATTATGAATTAAAATAAAAATTATAGAAGCTAATTGTAGAAGAAAATTTTATCATGGTAAAATTTCTGAACTGTTGTTACTTAACTGCAAATTTTGAAATAACCCCAATTTTTATTGATTTGCTTTGCTTCCAGATTGTGGACGTGTACTACAGAATTCTAGTGGTGAATTCCATACTGACATATCTGGCAGCAATAAAACATTGTGCATATGGAAAGTGAGCGTTCCTCCTACTAGTGGGGCAGATGTAAATGTGATTTCATACACTTTGACTAAGAAAGATGATAAAAAAAATTAGTGAGTAAGAATTTTGCTTTTAATAAAGAGCAAAACATGCCCCCCCCCATTTTTCCACTAAACTGAATTTTTTTAGTTTTATGCCAGTTACAATATTCAGTTAATTAACATGAAATAAAAACCTCAAATATGTTATGTATGTATGTAAGGTATCATCTACAGTCTTCATATAGTCATCTCTTAAAAAGATATCTGTTGAGAATTACTTTCTAAATTCTTGAATTTCCATTTTCGACTATTACCTTTGTTGCATTATGTATTTATAATGGTACTTAGTTTTTTCATGTAAAAACCTCTGATATCATTTAAATTGCTAAAAAAGCAATAGCTGTATTTGGAGTAATACAGCATTGTAGCATTTACAAATTAAAAAATTAAATATATACAATACAAATTATGAAACAGTGTAGAAATGATGTGTGACAAAGAAAGTTTAGAACAAATGCAAACTTTTAACATTAATGTGGAATTTGATCCCTTGTTACGTGTACACACAGATCACAATTCAATTTGCATCAATATTCTGTTATCTACAGAATCATATTTTAATGTTATCAAATAAACTTCTTACTAAAATTTCTCTACCCAGTGGTATACTTGTGGAGGTTAAGCTTTAAAAAAAAAAAAAAAAAAAAAAAAAAAAAAAATATTTATTTCAGATGTAGACAGTGTTGCTCTGTAATATTCTGCAGTTCAGGCTTAATGGTGTTGATTTATGTTCAATTTTGTTTCATATTTCTGGATAAATTGTGAATGTTTATGGCTGTATAATACCTTAGTAACTTGAGGACACTTAAAGTCTAATCTGACAAAAGTCTTCTGAAAAGGTTGCTAATAGTTGAAGAGAGAGGTATCAGACTCTCAGATCCTAAATTTCACAGTACTGTCAATCTAAATTGTGATAGGCCGTAAGCAGAAATTCCTTGTGTTCTTTAAGTAAATTAAATAATCAGTCATTTGTTGAGTTCTGAAATTGTGAAATTAAAAATTAAATATTAAGGTATCATTTAACAATGATTCAAGATTTGACTTCATACAAATGTTTTGTTTTCCAAAATCAGCATTTCTTGAAATATTCCAAAAAAGGTCTTTCACAAGCAGAAGGGAAAATATTAATATTTTCAGTTTGTAAATTGTATTAAATGCAAATGATGTATTTGATCACTGTGAATTTTATTTCTCATCATAATGAATGACTCCTGAATCATATCCAAATTATATATATAAATATTGGATCATTTAGAAAATTCTGCAGTTTTTCAAATTGTGGAATTTTTTTAAAAATTATTTTATTACTGCTGATTAGAAATAATCTTGATTGACAGGGATGTTGAAATATGGTCTCTGTTGTTAGTGTTGTGCAATTCTAGCATGTTGTGGCATAAATTTTGTATCAATGCTGTGCTAAGAATGAAGAACCCAGAAGTCTATTTTTGTCATATTTATGCTCTTTCCCTTTTGTTTTAAGAATGGAAAAATACTAACCAGACTGCTTGTAACATTTTTGCTATGTATGGACAAAGGGCTTTTTCTTATGACACAATTGGAAGATGGTTTGAGAAGTTTAAATGCAGCAATTTCAGCCTCAAATATGATGACAGCTTTGGACCTTCTGTAAACAAGGACCTAATAAAAGAAGCTGTTGTTAAAAATCTGCTTTATACAGTTTATGAACTATCAGCCAAACTAAATATTCCAGAAAATACAGTATACAATCATTTGAAGAAATTTGGGTAAATTGAATGTGTGAGTTGTTACAGTGCATGTGTTCCTTATGCTTCAGCAGAGCAGAATATGCTTGCTGAATTTTTGGCATATGATTCTTTGCTGAAAAGAAATAGCAAAGCTGCTTTTCTGAAACAGCTAAAAGTGTTACTATACGATAATGTTTCAAAATAAGATCATGGAATAAGCCAAAAGAACTTTCCTTAGTTCCATCAAAAAGGAGTGTACAACCCAAGAAGGTAATGGTGTTTGGTGGAGTTAAAAAGGAATTGTATTTTATGAATTGTTGCCACCAAAATAGATAATAAATTTGGAAAAATATTATTCCCAAATGGCAGTTCTAAAAACAGAAATTGAAGCAAAGTGCCCTGAACTGATCAGTTGTTTAAATGTTTGTTGTCTTCCATCATAACAGTATTTGCCAGGCTTTGAGTTTAGGTTGCCCAGCGTATTTGCTAGAGCTTGCCTCCTTGGATTTTTAGGTTATTTCAAATTTCCCTGAACAATCTGGATTTAATCTGTCTGACAACACCTCAGTAATTTCTTTACAAATAAACCTAATGAGCTTTTTTTAAAAACAAAATTTATTGCTTCCAGAAAAGATGATGCTTCAGCTCATGAAAATCAAACAAAATGGTGTTTAAGTAATTCAAGGAAAATTTCTTATGTTCTTTTTTTGTTTATGTGTATTATCAAAAAATTGTAGAATTTTCTAGTACTCAATATATTATTACTACTAGAATACATTGTAAGCAGATTTAATATATTCACTTTTTTGCCATTTAATATTGATAAATTTAGACAGAAATATAAATTATGTAGGAATGACCCAAATTATTTAATAAAATACTGAAGTGCTAAGTAATTAATAAACTCAGTTTTTATAAGCAGAAGACCATGTTAAAGTTAAAAGTGAGAATCTTTCAAAAATTGTAGTATTCTAATGAATGAATGCAGATTATTAATGCAAGGTTACAAGTTTGTCACAAATTTTGGTGCTTCTGTCTTATTTGCTACCATGAAGATCAACCAGCACTAAGATGCTAATCTGGATACTAAAGACTTTTCAGCTTGAATGCTGGAAATAAGTTCAGTAGATCACAAAAATCCATCATTAGGATTATGTAAAAGTATAGAAAACATCTGATTAAAGGAATGCATAAAATGAAAAATGTTTTCTGCTGGGAAAAAAAAAATGATGTTGTAGTTGTGTGTATTTCTTGTGTGATCAAATCACTTGAAAATTGTAATTGCTTTTTAGACATTGTTTAGCATAGCCTGCAAGAATATTCTTAGAACCCACATTGTGAGTATTTTTGTGTTAAGATTTGTTTAGTATATTATAACTATAGCCTAGATTATGAAATCATTTTATGCTTTTAGAAAGACTGCATCCAGTAAATGCTAGTGTGGTTGAACAGCAGAGAAAGGAAAGATATTATGAGGGTGTGACTCAACAGGACAATAACTGCAAATTGATTACATGCCTCAGATCCTGTCATTACAGAAACAGTGAGAAGAGAACACTAGCAGAATTTATTTTGGAGTTGTAACTACCAAACCACTAGTGAATGAATTGAATGATCCAAGGAAGAGAGAATGATACACATTTATAAAACTTAAATTATTATTTAGTTAAAACTGTTTGCACTCTGGGGAATTAACCTGCATATTATTTCCAATTAATTTGTGGCCAATTTTATATGTTTAGAACACTAACTAAGCTTTTGATAAGGATTGTCTTTTACAAAACAGTGAACATGGAAACAGTCGTGGTATTCTTGGCAGTCTGCAGAATGACCTTGCAAGGTCATGTTGCTGCCAAGCATTATATAAGCATTTTTAGCAAGCTATTCCATCATATTTTATGAGTTGTAAGTGGACATGAGATACTATTTGTTAAGAGGATAAAGTTCTATTTTGGTATCTCATATCCATTTGTGATTTTCTATTCATGTTTCCTGTATTGCGAGACTTCAATATTATAAAGACCGTACGAATAATTCTGGAGAGAGAAGTTTGAATTCAGTATTCCACTTCTAAAATCTTTACAATAATTTGAATAAGTTTTTCAGGAAGAATAATAAAGCATCATGTTATATATCATCTAAAACTTGCATTTATCCATTCCAAGGAGAATTCAGAAAGGCAAGGAATTCATTCTTTATCTGGGTATTTTCATTTCATCCATCCATTGCCAACTGGCAATTCACTGTATATTCCTTTGGCAAAATTTGAATGATGTTAGCTCCTTCCAGCAATAGTATGTAAACTGTATAGCTACTAAAATTGTGATCTGTTTTCTTTCAGTTGAATATCTTTCTTCCTTTCTTTGTTCACTTTTGAATGCAACACTTTCATTAAATGTTTTCTGTAGTGATATATAATCTCATTAGACAGCCAGACATACATAAATATAACAGCAAATATGATGCAAGTGCAAAAATGTTTGCATCCTAATTTATTTATGCTATTCACAATTTTATCTTGAGTAATTACGTTCATATATAGTTTATCTGTAACTGAAAATATTGTATAAATATGTGCATCTTTTCAATTAATCAGATACAGTGTATGTCTCTTTTTTTCCTTCTGTTCTCCTTAATGATTTCTGTATTTTTTACTTTGCTCATTTTAGTGAACTAAGTGTTTTTGATGGTGCGTCTGTGAGGGATTCTCGGATTGTAAATAATACTAATTCTGAAATCTGGAGTCGATCTAATACTCTGATTTTCATGTACAAACGCATCAATGTTAGTCAAGAATCTTCACTGTTAGTTATCAAGTATAATATGATAAGTAAGTTTTCCAAATTTAGAATTATTTTTTTTTTTAATAATAATTTTCTAAAATGCCTTATACACCTGTGCTCAAAAAATAAGCAACAGACATTTAAAAAAAGTATGAATGTAAGAAGGGGAATTAAAATATGCAATGTACGTATGAGGTAAAAATTGCATCGTCAAATGCAAATAGGTGACCAAAATTAGCATAAATTGCAATCCCACCGACACAGCAGCTTAGAAAGGAGCATGCCTGATCTATGTGTCATTTCACAAGCAGCTATAGTTCCATGTAATGTGAGATAGCCAAAGCGGAAAGCATGAGCCAATGACACTGTTTGTCCGATGAAATGTACTGGAGGGCTGGCGGGATGTTGCAAGCTGGGGCAATACAATCCACTGTTGCAAGAGAGCTAAACGTGCATTGTAGTATCATCAGTAGGCTGTGGAATTTTTACTAAAGGCATCAAAACCCCTGTAAAAGATGTGGGTCTGGACATCGGATGATTACCCCAATGGCCAACAGCTGGTGTCGCATCTCTCTGTTGCAGCAGGATGTTCCATATCCTGCCAAACTATGTTGCTTCGATTGCATTTTGTCCCCATTACATGTCAGAGCGAGGTTGAATTGGGCTCGTAAACATCGCAGTTGGATACCAGAGCAGGGGGGCTATGTACTTTTTATGAATGAGGCTCAATTTAACATTCAGAATGATTTCTGAAGGGCAATGATGTGGCAAAAGCCAGGGACATGCTATTAGGTGCAAAAATCATCAAAACAGACCATTAGAGAGGTGGCTTAATTGTATGGCTTGTAGTAACAGTGAATAGCTGCACCACATGGTTTTTGATTGTTCTGTCACAGCTGTCCAATATCACAACAAAATTATGTGTGTCCTTTTATCTCTGCGCAGTGAGTACCAATGCAATATTTACAGACGATAACACCTACCTGCATAGAGCTCGAGTGGTGCAGAGTGAAACCATTCCACATCTGCCATGGCCAAACTAATTAATATTTCAAATGCAAAATCACCAGACCTGAATCCCATAGAGCATATGAGGGACGATGGATAGTAGGTTGCAGTGTGCTGCTAAGCACCCTCCATGAGCTCTGACATGCATTTTTACAGGAATGGGCACTATTACCACAAGTGATCGACGACACTGTTGCCACTTTGTGTCACCATTGTCAAACATGCATTTCAGCTAGAGGATATCATACCCATTATTAGTGTGATGTTTCCATTGTACATTTTTCTGACCCATTTGGTCTTTATAATATGATGGTCATAATACATGTTGTTGTATGTCTTTGCTTTATTGATTGCTATACAGTGTAGTAATGCCACACCAACCTTTGGATCAATTTTCACACATATCCGTTGAATAGTTTGTGTTTTATTCTGTTTGCCTTTGTTGCTTATTTTCTGAAGCAGGAGTGTAGCACTCCCATTTGTTTTTCTTGTAAATTTACAAAACATTTATTTTTGAGGAGTTGTAATGAAAGCATTTAATATTTCAATAAAACTTATTTCATAATACCATTCTCTGTTCTTAGATGTTTTATTATTCCATTGCTTTTTCTATAGTATTATCAAAATACCAAATTAAGTATATCTTAGATTAAACTAATTAATATTTATCATTTCCTACCTGTGCATATTAATCGAGTTTCAGTACTGGATTATTATAAATAAAATTATTCTATTCGGAATTAAGTATATTAACCGGATTGCTATTCTATCAACTCTATGTGAAGTTGCATCACACAGACAAGGTAAAACTTCCATCAGTTACCAACTATGCCAACAACAGGCATTCAGGTCTGTTTGGATCAGCAGGTCTCTCTGTCTAGACAAGCTACAGTGGTTGCAACAGATCTGAAATTTATTCAATTCCCCATTTGCTGATAGGTGCTTAATTTTTTAATTGATGGTCCTTAAAAGTACTTAATTTCTATATGCAGAAATATGTACGAATCCTGATGTATGCATGCTGCACTTTTTTTTTTAATTTTCTCTCAATGCATTTTTTATATTTTAACTTTCTTGCACTCAAGGTTGTCAGTTAAGTGTGTAATGGTAGAGGTGACTGAGATTTTGTCTTTTAATGGTAAAGGCTTGACATTAAGAAATTAAGATATCAGAAAGCAAATAAGGCATGTATATAACATGGAGAATTTAAAAAAAAAAACTGAGAAAAGCTCATTCATTCATCCATCTTGTGGGTTTCCAGGTTATCTCAGTACATGTTTCTTGTCAGCTGACACTTGCTTAAATGAGTTATGTTTTGTCTGGTACCATCGAGCATTATGTTATTCATTATTATAGGTTATAAAAGTATTGCATGTTGTGAATTTAAAGATATATGAATAAATGAAACGAGCATGTTATCTGTTGATAGACATAATTAAAAGTATGGTACAGTGGATGGACAAAAATCTGGAAACACCTTGTGAAATGCATGTTTGAAAAGAAAGATTGATTTTAATGAAATATGTAGGTGGCGCTGGCGTTTTTGACTACTGACACCACCTATACAACTTCGTAAATGTGCTAAACAGTTCAGTTGTTTGTCGGAGTACTGTTATGTGAGGTTGTCATTGCATTATGTCAGAGTTAACAGACTTCGAACGTGGGCAAATTGTTGGAGCACGTATGGTAGGTGCTTCCGTAAGCAAGGTAGCCGAGGTGTTTAGTGTTTCAAGAGGTACTGTATCGAAGATTTATTCCGCATATTTGAAAAGCGGAAAAACATCATCTGCTAAATCACAGCGCGGACGAAAGTGTGTCCTGAGTGATCGTGACAGACGATCATTAAGGGCAATTGTGACGAAAAATAAGAAGACCACAGCTGCAAAAGTTACTGCTGAAATGAATGTTGTGTTACCGAACCCTGTGAGTACCAAAACAATTAGAAGGGAGCTTCATAAACAGTGAATTGCTGGCCGTGCTGCAACTGAGAAGCCACTCATCAGTGATGCTAATGCCCGTAAAAAGGTGGTGTTTAAGTCATAAAGCCTGGACTATAGAGCAGTGGAAGCGAGTAATATGGTCTGACGAGTCTTCTTTCACATTGTTTCCCACTTCTGGCCGAGTGTACGTCAGGAGAACGCCATCTCAAGCCTATAATACAGACTGCTTGTTGCCAAGAGTGAAACATGGCGGGGGTTCTGTTATGGTTTGGGCAGCCATATCGTGGTTCTCTGCTAGCCCCATGATAACTGTGTCAGGGCACATGACTGCCAAGACTTATGTGAACATTTTGGCCGATCAAGTTCATCCCATGGTATAAACTTTGTTCTCTGATGGTAACGGTGTCTTCCAAGACGACAAAGCCCCCCTGTTCACACAGCTCACATTGTCTAGGACTGGTTTTCTGAGCACGAGGATGAGTTGTCCCATCTCCCCTGGCCACCACAGTCACCAGACCTGAATATTATCGAACCTTTGTGGTCTACATTGGGACGGAAAGTGTGTTCTCGTTATCCACCGCCAACATCGTTATCTGAACTTGCCACTGTTTTGCAATAAGAATGGTATAATATTCCCTTGGCAAACATACAGGAACTGTATTTATCCATTCCGAAAAGACTGCAAGCTGTTTTGGATGCCAACGGGTTTCCTACACCATATTAAGCAAAGAAACATGTTTTTTTAAAGGTGTTTCCATATTTTTGTCCAACCCCTGTATTTTGTGAACTCGGACATATGTGAAAAAGTAACATTAAATGTTCATACTACTGAACATGTGCATATTTCATGAAAAAATAACAATTAATGCTTTCCTATCCAAATATCTGTCAGCTAAGTTCATAAAATTTGAATCTTTATTAAATTTATTGAAAATAAAGTCATAAAATTCTGATATTTGGAATTATGCCTTTCAGGTTGTAATTCTGCAATGCAGTGTAACAATAAAGTATGTATGCATCCTGATTGGCGATGCAATGGTGTTAACGACTGCGGAGATTATTCAGATGAAACAAACTGTGGATCTGTACCCATACCACCAGAGTTAAAAGAGACTGGTTGTAAGTATTCTTATTTCTCTAAATGTGATATTCTAATGAATTTTCCCTCTATTAAAAAAATATTGTCATTTATTTCTTACAATTCAGCTTTTTCAATAGAAAGGGTAAAAATTATGTATTCTTATTCTTTAGATAATGCAGTGTCTTTTTGGGTGACTGCATTTGCTATGCTCATACTTGGAGGTATCCTTGTCATTGTTGTGCCCTTTTTATATCAGAAATACAAAAATGGGCAGTACAGAAGATTTGGTGATATTTCTGTCATAGAATAGAGTATAGTTTTGCATTTATGTTTTTTGGATATTTATCGAGGTGATAAGATATTTAAAAATTATGTTCTTGGAACTATTTTTTTAATTGTTTGCATTCCGTAAATTCTTTGCAAACTGCATTTGTCATATGTGTTTATTGTTTAAATTGTGAATTGGATAAAGACTGCATATTTAGTGCATTTATGTAGTTTTACCAGATATTCCTATTTTATTTTTCTTTTAATAATGCAAATAAGATCTTTAGTAATACTGTTTAAATAAGATTTCAAATCATCAAAGGTGCATAAACCTTATCAAATAACTAGTTTTTAATTATTATTTTTGTGAATGTTAGCTATGTTGTATTTATCATAATTTGCTATTTGTTCTCTTTATTCTTTAATATAAAATTATAGTATTAAAATCATTGTATATCAGATATTTAAATCACAATGCAGTGTATTTATTAGGCTATTATGCTGGAGTTTCTGATATTTTAAATTTCCTTTTAACAATCCCCTCAAGCAATTATGACTGAAAAATGAGATTTGAAATTTAAAAAAATTAAAGTGCCTTAACTGCTAGATAGTTTTTTTTTTTTTTTTTATCTTGGAATTTTATTATGTTGGAATTGTAAATAAGTGAAATTTATGTAAATTTTGTTTTATACACAAATAATTTGATTTAATGGAAAATGATTAGCTTTGATATTTGTATAAAAATACACATAAACTAGTGCAATCAATACTTCTAGGAAATTTGTATTAATATGATAGGAAGGTGTTACAAATTTCAAGATCTAACAATTTTTACAGAATGAAAATTTTGTTTAGTTATTGTTGCTGAAATTCTGTTGTATCATGTGTTAAATAAAATTTTCTTTGTCCTCAAGCATTTCGATTTTGCTGAAGACTAGATTTAATCTATGTACATATTACTGAAATAAAAAATTTGAAAATGTTATTCTTTTAATTTATTAAACTTAATTTTATGACATAAAAATTCAGCTTTAGCTCAAAATATTTAACCCCAGGGGGAAAAAAAAGGCTACTGATTATAATCTATAGAGTTAATGTTTCAGAAGAAATGATAAATATTTTCAGACAATTAAGCTGGAAAATTACATTTTAATTTAAGTCTTTTATTGGGTCAGTCCATAAGTTTGTGTGCATTAAGAGTATGCATGGAATTCACTATGGCGGATTTATTAAAACAATACAATTTTGAACCTGTTGAAACTTGTCATCATTTGACTAACATATTATTCAGTTCATCACCAACTTTCGTAAATATCGAACGTGTTTTAGTACCTGTAGAAGATGAATATAGATAATCAGTACAAACGTGCTGTGCTACATTTTTCATTTTTGTGTGGTAAATCTGCCAGGTTTACAGCGATAAAAATTAATAGTGTACATGGTGAACACACTATTATTGTAAGGACTGCCCAGAAATGGTTTTAAAAATTTTAAGTTGGAAAAAGCAGCATTTGATGATGAACCCCGTTCAGGACATTTTGAACTGTTAGAACCAAATCAAACGATTCATTCAGAAGTTTATAGTGAACATCTAAACTCGGAATTGATCAAAAAACGCCCACAATTGGTGAATATCAAGAAAGTGTTGTTTCATTATGATAACGCTAGACCGAACAACGCTGCAAAAAATTAGTGAATTTAATTGGGAGCTTTTTCCATATCCTGCTTACTCCCCAGATATTGACCCAAGTGATTTTGACTTATTTCGTGCATTACAAAATTTTTTACTGGGAAAAAAAAAATTTAAACAGGATGTACACAATGAACTTTCAAGGTTTCCCCCCCTACCCCATCAAAACCAGAGTCTTTCTACAGCAATGGCATAAAAAAGCTGCCTGTAAGATGGCGAGACATTGTAGATCATGGAGGAAAAAATATAATTGATTAAAATGTTAAATCTTTTTTTTTTTTTTTTTTTTTTTTAATATATATTTAAAAATTTACCAAAAAATGCGCACGGATTTATGGACTGCCCAATATTAAAAACTGGTCTGCATACACTTTTACAAGAAACATTTTAAGAACATTTTTTTAATCGTAAGAAATACACAGAAATGAAACATTATGTTGCAGAAAAGGCCAGCAGGTAGCATTCAAGTATTCTGTATTAGTGAATACCAACACTTACCTTTGTTATTCAAGATGTTTTAATGTGTTTATTAAATACTGCTTGAAGCAGTTCATATGAAGATATATGTACTTAAGAATATTATATTGAAAATAGTTTAAATTTCAATTGGATTAGCATTCATTGTAAAGAATGTCAACAAAATTCATATTATTAAACCATGTTATAAGATATAATAATTATTTCAAAGTATTTTTTCTCTAGTTCTGAGTCAGTTCAAAATGCAACTGTGATTTTCATTTTCTTTATCATTAGCTATTCTTACATTGTGCGTTCAGTCTACATGCAATTTAAGTTTGGTACCATTGATTTAAGTCACAACTGAAGAATAGAGCTAATACAAGTCAGTTTTACTTTCATAACAGCAATGAGAAAAGGCTGACTTTTTCAAATTTCCTAAAAAAACAAATCTGTTCATTTAGAAACATATAACAGTTTTAAAAAAGGGGAAAAAAACAGCTGTTAGTATTCCATTTAAAGAAAAAAATTGTTCCAATTAACAGATTTTGACAATATAGAGCTGTTTGGCAATATTAATTCAATAAAGTCACCAAGCTGATCAATTCATTTAAGTAAATGAAAAAAATAATTAATTCAGAGATTAAAAAAGATTATATATATATATATATATATATACTTTGGCTGTCATTACACAATAATTTAAAATGAAAAGTTGAATCGATCATCTGCAAATGTGATCTTTTTAAAGTATAGGAAACAATGCTATTTCATGAAATCTAAATCTCTTTACATGATAAAAAAAATTACACTAGCTATGGATTGAATATACAGCATGGATGAGATGCAGTAATATGTTTTACACCATTTGCAATTAGCAAAATGAATGACTTTACAAAAATTAAGAAATACAAGGTCAACAGCAGCCAAGAGGTAAAAGTGCTGAACACACAAACCATAAGGTGTTCAACATAGATTTAACCTTCTTGGCGTTACAGATGTAAAATTCCATATAGAAAAGTTGCTTTCTTATTCATTTACACGTGAAATTTCTGCCAACTTTTAATGTATCCGATATTTTTTTTATAATGTGAATAAGAATGTATTGTCTTTTGCAATAACAAAGCTTTAGGGAAACTTTTTATATACCATTCCATATCTCCATTTAAAATTTACTTTCACTAGTACAAAGAATTTTAGATAAGTATGTGATAATTTCTAAAATCCTCTCAAATGTGAAACTTTTGTTGACAGTCTCCATTAGCTGAAATACATTCTACTGCTAATAATATCTAGAGAACATTAAGAATATGTTTATCTGAAGTTCAAATAATGTTATAATAATACAGCTCTAACATTCTCTGATATTACAATCTGTACTCTTGAAACACTTATTAAATGCAAATATTTTGTGCCAGTTGTTTTGCAGCAAGGCAGAACAGCTCCATGTTATCTTGGGTTGATGTTCCTGTTCATCTGAGAGATGTTCAATTGGATTAAGATCATGAATTTTTTGCCAACCAGTTATATTCATATCTTCAAATAACTCGATCATAACTTTTGGTTTGTGAATGAATGTGTTGTGTTGAAAGAGAAATGGCTCATTTCCAGTCTGCTGTCACAAAGTAAACAGAAAACAAAATTTTGCAATGCCATTTCGTAGCTTTTGAGGCATAGAAACTAGTGGACCAAGATCAAAGCATGAAAATCAGACCAACACAAGAATTCACCCCTTGCCCAATTAAAGCGGTATTTTGGTAAAAAGTATTCTCTAAGCAAAAAGAATGTCCACACACCAGTTATATTCTTGACATATAGTATGATTAATCCCACAGTATGATATTCTTCTGTGTACTGACAATCCACAATCCACTGTTATAGGTGACAGAAAGCGTTCCTCACAGTGGTCGTTGACTTACGTACTGCTACTTGCCCATGGAATTCAAATTAAAATCCTTCAATGCGCAAAAATTGGTATTACTCCTCCTCCTGTCGAAAGTCTGCTATGACAGTTTTTAACACATTGACTGCCGTGCGAATTTGACGTGGTTTGCCCATGACGCCAACTTGAAATTTTTATTATGTGATGTATAATATGTTGAAATATTATCTGCAGAAGATAATGTGAGTTATATAATTGTGCATTATTTGTAGTGGAGGTCACCAGTGATCCCCAAGGCACTGTAGACCATTATTGCGATTTATAATTTAAATTTTTACGATTTATTATTCTTCAAACCATTATAGTAACAATGGTACTACAGTCAAAAGTCTTTAATCCGGACGTCTATAATACGGAATGTATAATCCGGACCTCAAAGCTACAAACTTTCTGCGCATGCATAAACGCATTACACATGCGCATAATAGGTTTACACGTGCACGTTCAATGTATAACGGACGGTATAAGGTAAGCTAAAATTATCTAATTACCTATTTCAGTTAATGTTGCAGATTGCGTTGTTCCTTAATCTTCTAATTGGATCCGGCTTATTATTTTTTGCAGACTGTTAGAGCAATTTTATAAAAGTAAGCTTGAACTTTCGATTATGTCAAAAAGAATTTCCGATTCTGGAGCTACCAAAGGATCTACAAAGCGAAAGCATGTTTCGATGTCCATCAAACAATAAGTGGAATTGCTGCAAAAAATGGATAGAGGCATATCCTTTGTTTCTCTAACCATTCTGAAATCTGTTTATCAATTTCACGCTGCTCTGCAGGGTAAGGGGGGACATCGCGGCAAAAAAAAAGAGCATTAAATTGTTGTCATGGCCAGGAAACAGTCCTGACCTCAATCCTATCGAAAATTTGTTGCACCGTTTGAAAACTCTTGTCCGAGTGAGGCGCCCATCAAATAAAAGGGAACTAATTGAGGCTATAATTGTTTCCTGGCATCATGTAATAATGAAAGAAGAGCTTAAAACTCTTGTCAGCTCAATGAAACGTCGATGTGAAGCTGTAATAAAAAATAAAGGGTACCCTACTAAGTACTGATCACTGCAATCATCACTATCTAATATATATCAATAACTATTATCATTTAACTTTTTTTGTATTGCAAATAATTGAATTTTGTGTTTTGTATTGAATTCAGTAATAAATTATCTTTAAAATGATATATACAAGTTTGCATTTTGTGAAACGCAACGTTTTCTATAAGCATACAAAGTTCAAAAACATAAAAATTTCCAAAAGTGTCCACAATTTTGGCCACCACTGTATTTTAAGGTAATTCTTCTGAAGCAAGTGATAAAACATCTAAATGCATTATTAAATTTTACATTGAATATAAAAGATTGGTAGGATTTCCAGAAAAAACATTTTATATTGAACCACAGCAGTACATAACAATCTTTTTTTTTTATTCTTCTATGCATTCTTAAACTTCATTTTTTTCTACATTAATTTTCATGCTAACTATGAAAATATACCTCACCATAATAAAATTAATTTTAAAAAAAAGGCGATATAGCTATTGAGAGAAGTATGTTATCAAGGGTAAATTTGGTATAACCACAAATCATGTTAATCAAACCACTTGATATCATAAATGACCAGACGAAATCATTTCTCGGAAAATGATCAGTATGCAAAAAATATTTCAACCAAATTCGTTACAATATATTTATGCATTGCAGACACCTAGAATCTGCTACTTTAAAGTAGGTATGACAAGGTTATTCTTTGCCACCCAATTTCATTCCTAATCACAGGAACAACTGCATGGAGGTAATCATAGTAAGAGGAGAGGCCCAAACCAATTTTTCCCAGCACTGCCAATCCCTTTGTGGTGACCAAAACATTCAATGATCTTACCATTAAGTTCAATGGGTTTCGACACCATTGGATGTAAATGTTTTGTAATTACATCGTAAATATAATATTTTCTTTTCCTACAATATTTCAGAGTCTTAAGTATGTGAAAAGAATACATTTTTAAACATTTCATTCTGAAAGGAATTAAATGCTATACTTTTCACAGAACTGTTTGCTCAGAAGGGTTTAATTTGAATGAAATATTTTCACAAGTTTTTGTTAATTATATTAGAAAATTTTTTTAAGGTAATTCGATTTTATTCGGTTAAAGATTACAATAAAATTAAGATCAAAATTTATTGTATTATTACTATTAAAATTATGCATTATTTCTTTTTTCTAGAGTTTCTTCCTAAAATACTTTAAAATATGACATGATTTTTTAGCTTCTGAGGCATCTTTTAAATCGAAAAATCTAAGTCAATTTATAATTAATGCTCTATTTGGTCCATTTCAAAATTAGAGCGCCTTTTATTTTAATAGTGAAATACGTTAAATATTTGGGGCTCATTTCCATGTAGTTAACTTTCCCTGAATATTTCTGAAAACGACATTTTTTAAATATTATTTAAAACTTGTAACCAAGTTATTATAAAATGTGAGGGAATAAATCTTTTAATTATATTTATTAGATTTTTTTAACCCTTAAATTCAACAATACATATTCTGAAACTCTTCTTTATTACTTACACATCTCATAGAATTTGCTTTACAGTACCTTTTAACGGATTCTTTCCAGTACAAACAATTCTTGCTTAAATAGTTTATAAACATATTTGTCAACAGGAATTCAATTTATGTTTACAATTCAGATAATATTTATAATCTATAAATTTACGTGCATTTAATTAGATTTCTTCACAGTAACTTTCACAGGAGATTACAAATGAATAAATCCTTCATTTCAAGTATATTTATAAATAATTTAATAAATATATACATATTTTGTTAGAGGCAGATGCATGTTTTTTGCAAGCATATGCATAGTTCATACCCCCATACATATTTCATACTTTTCATTTTCGGCATGCGCAAATCTTTAATTTCTGTGCATTCATTATATTTTTCGAGTAAAGTAATTTATTATAGTTTTGGAGATACCCGAAATTTTTACAGAAATGTGTATAAATATAATTTGAATGAAGATTACATGCATTATTTTTAATACCCACTCAAAGGTCAGTTTTTCTTCGAAATTCCTCTAGGATGGCATCTCTCCCTTTAGGCAGATAGCCCTTGTATGCCTTAGTCTATTTAATAAAAACTTAACCTGACCTATGTGCCTAGTTTAAACATGCTTAATTTTATATTTACATTTAGCCTTCAAGTTTCAAACTTTTGACTTAAAATACATTTCAGGTTACACACATAAAATACATTTTGTGATTATTTTTCAGTTATATAAAAATAAAATGAGCAACTATAAAGGCTCTCCTCTAAAAATTTTTAAAAAGTACATGTTACAACAATATGTGGATGATAAAAAATTTATTTTATTTAAAACGTTTTAGCATTGGGAACATAAAATAAAAGTAGCGAATACTCTATCAAGGGTATTGAAAGACATATATAATTTTAAATGTACCGAAAGGTATTTTTCATTCTTTAAGTACAGTCAAAAGTCGTTAATTCAAACACCCATAATCCGGACCTCAAAGCTGCAAACTTTCTGCGCATGCGTCTGGTTGACACATGCGCATAGGCGTTTACGCGTGTGCGTAAGACCTTTACGGCTGCGAATATGCGTGTGCGTATGCGCGTTTAATGTATAACAGACGGTTTAAGCTAAGCTAAAATTATCTAATTCAGTTAATGTTGCAGATTGCATTGTTCCTTAATCTTCGAATTGGATCCGGTTTATTATTTTTTGCAGACTGTTAGAGCAATTTTATAAAAGTAAGCTTGAACTTTCGATTATGTCAAATAGAATTTCCGATATATATTTACTAACATGTAAAGGATCTACAAAGCGAAAGTATGTTTCGAAGTCCATTAAACAGAAAGTGGAATTGCTGCAAAAAAATGGATAAAGGCATATCCTTTGATTATCTAATTCTGAAATATGTTTATCAATTTCACGCTGCTCTGCGGGGGGGGGGGGGAAACGACACGGCACGCAATGAATTGGAAGTTGATCTGTCAGCACTATCCTTATCTTCAGGGCAGATGTTTTTATTTTATTTGGCTTATAATTCCTTACCAAATGTAATATTTCATCTCGATGTACTCCGTCTTTGATATGATTTAAATCAAGTTCCTCGTCATTATAATTCGCTTCCGATAGTGAAGAAAGTGACGCAGAGGTTATTGAAAACAAAAAAATTTCAATTGACAAATTATTCGGTATTCTTGGCACAGCAATTATAGGACTTGAACAGCAGAACTTTGTAACTAAAAAAGAAATTATGTCTGTTTAATAGAATTAAAGAGAAAGTATTATCACATGAAACGTAGCAACTTGAACAACTTCCATTGAAAGAAATGTTTAATAAAGTAAACGAATAAATATTAAGTTTTTTCTTTTTGTAAATTTTGATACCCTTTAGATCATAATTGTTCTTTATTTCATAAATTACGATTTCATATTTTTAATTTTATAATTTCTGCATGCCATCTTACCAGATTTAAACTGATGATCTATAATCCCGAATCGCCGAAGTCCCGACGAGTCCGGATTAACGAATTTCGACTGTATAACATTTTTCCTAAAATTCTATATTTATGTAGTTCAACAGCTTAGAATTTTATAAAACAAATTCATATTCAAAATCGCTGTTGTTAGTTATTGAAAAATAACCAAGATGTGATTTTTGTGTAAATGTCAATAAACTATACAAACTGCTATTATCCATCACACAATGAATGTTTCCTTTATGCAGAAGTTTCTCCTTTTTTTTTTTTTTTTTTTTTTTTTTTTTTTTGTAGAACTGTCATGTGTCAAAATAAGTAAAATAAAGTGCTGTCAAGGAAGCTTTTGAATGTAAACAAAAAACACCCCATCTGGAGACCAAAGCCTCGGTCCAGTCCTACATTCGTAGTGTGGGGTTGGCCCCTCCTTCCTTTCTTACTTCCATGAACAACAGGTGAAGGAACAAAAAGTTTCACTAATTTTTTTCCCACTTTATTTTAGCTTGTTTCACTGAAAAGAGTGCAACTGAAGGTTAACTTGAACTACAGCCTCAGATGAAAGGAGGAGGAAATAAATGTTGTGTGACAATGATGACATGAATTACAATCACAAATAGGGTGATTGGCAACAGCCTTGAAGTGCCTATTTTAAAGTATCTGACTATAATAGGTTAATCCAACAACAGTTTAAAAAAAAGACAGGAAAGAGAAATAACCCATACTGTAATTAACAGTACCAACTTACCTGTATTTTTAAGCAATTTGATTTGGAAAATTAGTTCATTTAGTTAAGTAAATTAAATCAGCATTTTTATTTGTCAAATGCCAGTTACATTGGCCATTAGGCCATTAAACTCCTTGCTTGCCAATAGCGCTGAAATCTACTAGAAAAATTTGTCAGTGCTTCACACTCGTGCAGCATTTAAATCACGAACACATTTCAAAACATAAAGAACAATGTTCTTATTTATATTTCTCTTGTATTTTAACAACAACTTAACAACAACAAAGTCAATAAGAAAATGAGATTAATGAATGTACAAAGAATAATATTTTCATTTATATTACTCTTGCATTTCAATAGGAAATAATTAGAAAATTACATTCAATAAAAATAAATAAATGGGGTAAAGAGGATTAATGACTGTGCACTTAATTTAGTTTCAGGATTTGGCAGTTTACTTTTAATTGATGATTTAATGTTTCATAATCCAGAATATGAATTGTTATGGGTAAAAACAACTCCCAAATATTATGACATCATCAGCTATTATTCAGCATATTTTAATCTACTTTTCTTTTATCTTGTGTATATAAGACAATAATGTTTCTACCATTATGCAATAAACAAACTTAACTCCTCGTAAATATATTTCCTCAAAAGACAATTTAAACATAGCTGGAATTATAGATTATTCCAGTATGGAAAAACAAAATCTGTATGAAAATTGACCACATATCTAGATTAAAATTACATATCTGTATGAAAAATGGTTTATGTAACATACATAATTAATTCACTAAGCTCACATGCTTTATCAGTAAACTAAGGCATCTTCCAAATAATATATTCAGTACTGAAATTATACAGTTGATTATCTAATTAACTAAATGGGCTAACCTACAATGTGAAAAATCATAAATAATAATAATAAGCAATATAACTGACTTGATAACTAATTCTATTTAGTTATGCAAAAGGAGAGTCTGAACATCTTGCATTCATTCATATAAATGTGTTTTATAAAAACAGTGTATTTTTATACAAAATATACTTTTATGGTTTATACAAACATAAAACACTTAATATTTAAAATAAAATTTAAATATTTAACAAACAAACAGATAACATCTTCATATCTTAATGTGAAATTAATAGCAATCTATCACTTAATGCTGTGCACCAAAATTTTATGTGGATAACAGAATTTAACAAAATTTGCATGACATGATACATTATGAAAGATTGTATATAATGCAGATTACTACTCAATGCATATTTACAGAACTCTAATAACTCGTTCAGTGCTAACACAGTTAAAAAAAAAAAAAAAAAAAAACCCTACAATATGAACAGTAAATAGGAATAAAACCAAATCATGATGGTTATATTAACTGCTTAGTTTATACTTAAACAAAAAAAAAAAAAAAAAAAAAAAAAAAAAACCCTACAATATGAACAGTAAATAGGAATAAAACCAAATCATGATGGTTATATTAACTGCTTAGTTTATACTTAAACAAAAAAAAAAAAAAAAAAGTACAAAACACAATCAGATCTTGCACATTCATAAATAAAAGCACTGATTACACAGTTACAAAATTTCATATGATCCGTACAGTACTAATCGAGCCATATCTCCAAATGTTTTGTTATAATATTTTATGTTTTCTTCATTAAATTCCAAAACAGAGTCACCAGGGAGTAGATAATTCTTATGTCTCACCAGTAAATGAATGCCATGGTAATTCTTCCATTCATCACTCCTAGTCCCATATAGCAGTTGAACAAGGTTCTGAACTCCAAAATCATATAACACTCTATGAACTAAATAAGGCATTTTCTCTAAAATAAATGTAGTAGGTAACTCTCCAGCATTATAATACCAACGTTCCCTTCGATAATAATGATAAGAATTATACCATAATCTCAAAAATCTAGCATTTTTATGGGCAATTAATAACTGGGTGCCAAGATTTTGACCAGGAGGCCACCCAATAGCCATTTCAAATTTACGAAAATAATCTAAGGACTTAACAACATATGTATCTGTATCTAAAAATATTCCTCCATATTCCATTAATATTTTTAACCTTGCTATATCTGATGAGTGAAACACAGAACTCAACGGTTTCTCAAAAATATGTGTTGGTTTATCAATGTACAAAATATTAATAATTGAAATATTTTTTACCATATCCCAGTACTTTCCTTTAAGTGAGAAACAGTTACAGTGTATCAATATTTTTTCAGGTCTATGGTTAAAGAAGACAGCTTTTATACTAACCACTTGAATGAAGGTTAAATCTCTACTATCAAAATGTACAAAATGGACAATATTTGGTACAATAGGATAATTAAAGCCTGTAACATTATCTGCATAAGTAAAATCTACAATATCTCCTGATGAAAAATTTTTCAGATAAACATGTATCTTAGAACCATTAAAGACATAATAAAATAATAAAATACAGGTAAAAACAACAACCAGAAATAAACATCTGATACGACTAAGAAATGGCATTTTATTTAAACTAACAAATTATCTTAATAATAAGACTGATCAAAATATTAAAAATCGCTCTTAATTACGAAGCCACAAGTACAAATACATTCAAAACCAGAATTTTGCTCAAGATAATAAAAGTGAAATTGTCTTCAAAAATAAATTCATTATTATTTCAATTGATTCGACATCCACTATCTTCAGAACAGAATATTACAAATTAACAAATACACATTCATTTCTACAAGTTCAATTCACATACCTACAACAAAAGATAAAACAAAAATTCACAGGTGTTTCTATACTAAATAAGCATGTCTTTAATTAGCAGAGCTGGAGCAAATCGCATGTATTCGTTACTGAGTAACGGGTACATCGGTTGACTCGAAGTACCGATTCGGAACTCACAAATTCATTTCGTTACTCGCATCTGTTCGTTACTCGCATCTGTCGTATGATGCGGTTTACTCGAGTACGAATGATGCGGTTGCTATTCGAATACGTATGATGCGGTTTCTATGCGAATACGAATGATGCAGTTTCTATGCGAATACGAATGATGCGGTTGCTGTTGGAATACGAATGATACATTTGCTAACAATACCCGTGTGCCACATTTTTCGATGATAATTCCGAATTTTTTTTGGTTAACTCATCGGCCAAACTCTTGTTTACATTATGTGTTTTAGTTGAAATATTGTTTAGTTGTTGATATTTAAGAAAATGATCAATTTTGATAGCGTGAAGCGTTATTTTGTATTTACTTTTCACATTTAGATTTATAGTGCATATTATGTTTGTAATTTGAAAATTTAGATGATTATTGATTTTTTTTCTTGAGCGTGCCATAGGGAGATTTTATTGATTTGAAATATTTATATACTGCACTTAGGTATTGTTTAAATAAGAATATGTAGGTTAATATAAGTTCTTTACTTCCTTGTACGAAATAAAAAGGAAGTAAGTATTGTAATCGAGAAAAATTTTTGGGTATCATATTTCAACGGAAATATCCATTTTTTACGATTACAGAATCCATGTGAATTATTTTTTTGGATGACGTCTGTACGTACAAACACATTTTTTTTTTTTTTTTCCAGAAACGGATTGTTAAATGTAATCCCATTTACTCTAAGCTGATACTTATGACTAATGATTATGACATTAAGCTGATACTTATGACTAAACTAATGATTAAGTTGATACTTGAAAGAGATTTTTTCGTGATGTGTAAGTACGTATATATGCATTTCGCATAACTCAAAAAAGATTAGTTCTAGAACGTTGAAATTTTGTATATGGGCCCGTTATAACATCTAGATGTGCACCTCCCTTTTTATTGCAATCGGTAATACTACAAAACGTAAATATGTATATTTTAAAGAAATTATAATTAAATGTAAAGTACATATATATAATATATCCTTATAATTAAATGTAAAGTACACACACATATATAATATAAAATAAAAGCCAAGTAAGGCGAAAATAAAAGCCTTGGTTTTTATTTTATTTATTTATCACTAAGTAAGTTACTTGAATTTTTATTATTTACCAGAGTATAGATAGAAAATTTGGTTATGTAGCCTATTCTTCTAAAACGACGTTTCGTCGCTGCCTTCCAACCACCAATTCCGTTTTTTTTCCGTTTCGGATTATTTGGTTACGGCAATGCACACTAGGGCTATTGCCTAAGGGAAGGATGAATGCCTTCGTGGAGGACTTTTTAAAGGAAACTGGCTTCATATGCAAGTTACACATGGGGAAAGCCACGAAAACGCCCGTGCAGCCAGCCGTTAGCCGGGAATTGAACACCGGAACGAACTATTAGTCTTCAGCGACTTTACCGCTCGAGCGCTGGTGGGCTCTTCGCTGTTTGCAAAATAGGTGTTCACTTTACGATAAAGCAAGCACCTGTTTTCTTTCTTCAATTAAAACAGGTTAGACGATATGACTCTTACTACTTCATTCTCACTTAGCTTTTGATTTCTAATATTGATTCATATTTTCTGTAGACATTCTGATTAGAATAATGGATTTCAAACATGTGCAAAAGGTGTGTATCTGAATATAATTAGGTTTTATAACATACGGCCCATTTTATTAATTTATAAAACAATATTATCGCTGTTTAGAACCACATTATCGCTGTTTTGAAAGAAAGCAAAAATGTGACAAATGTATAATGAGCATTAATATACATGCTTTACTAGAAATTCACCCTTTCGTCATTAGCGGTTCTGATGAAAGGAATGGGGAGAAGCAGCAAACGAAGTAACGAATAACCGACAAATAACGAAATCTAATCTTTAATGCCGTCTCCCAGTTTCTTTAGCCCACCAGCGGCCCAGCGGTAACGTCGTTGAACACTGGTAGTTCGGTCTGAGGTTCGAATCCCGCGAACGGGCTGGCTGCATGGGTGTTTTCGTGGTTTTCCCCATGTGTAAAGTGTATATCAGCCATTTCTCTTAGAAAGTCCTCCACGAAAGCATCCCTCCTTTAGACAGATAGCCCTAGTGTGCTTTGCCATAATTAAATACACCAACCCAGTTTCTTTATTTGTATTTGGGAAAGTTTTATTGTCATTATGAAAAGTGAAATTTGATATGGATACCACATGACTTCCTTCTACGACTTTTTAAATTATGCTTATTTTTGCTGCACTTCATTTAAACGTATTTCCTCGAATTATTCTAACTTAATTAAGCGATACCCGAAGGCAACTTACAAATGGCATCAAACACTGCAAATTTTGAAACTAAATTTCCCGGTCAATCTTTGTCCTACGGGACTCAAACTTCTTGTATTTTGATTTTTTCATAACAAGTATAAAACTTTACCAGATATAAATATAGAAACCAGAAAACGACATTAAAAGTTAGATTTAATAATTTGTCCAAAATTAATTCTTTTTTAAATTTGACATTGACAAAATATGAATATTTTCGTCATTTAAAATACTTCTGTATTTTTGTTGCACCGTATTTAAACTTGCTTCCTCGAGTTATTGACATTAAATTACATTAATTCCATTATCTATTGGAAAATAATGATAGCAAATAATCTATTTACGACACCTCTAAGAGGTCACCTTTTAAGAGATCTCTATTTTTGGGAACATAAACAAACATTGGTAGTGAACATCATCTTTTTAAGACCACCACATGTAAAATCCTCTAAAAGCATGAATGGTTGCATTTAATGAGGACCCATTACTTTTAATAAGGAATGTAACATTAATCTTAATTATACATGTTTTTGATGTGTGTGCCAAAATAGTGATACCGTACTTCTGTTGCTTTAGAAATGTGTGAAATTAAAAAAAATGGATACTATATACAACAAAAATGTTAATATATTCAGATACACACCTTTTGAACACGTCTGAAATTCATTATTCTGCTTAACATAATTGTCTGCATAAAATATTAAATATTATTAAAAAAATCAAAAGCTAAGTCGAAGTAGAAACAGTCATCTCTTCTAAACCATTTTAATTGAAGTAAACAGACGTTCGCCTTATCGTAAAGCAAACACCTATTTTTCAAACAGCGGATGAAACGGGAAAGAGGGAATTGGGGGGGGAAGGCAGCGAAATAAATAACACTTTCTCGAGCTGGCGATGAAATGAGAAAGGAAGAAACGATACTAAGTCAATAAGACAAGATCTGGTATTTTACTTTATTATTTAATTAGTCATCATAAACTTAAAAATTATTTTAATTTTTATTAGTTTTTACATTTTTATTAAGTTTTACATATAAGTATTTTATATTTCAGTTGCTAATTATTATGTTACTTTAATTATTCATTATTTTAATCACTATTTTTTATTATTTTAATTATTAAGTTTTTTAATAATTTTTTTTGTTATTTTAATTACTAATTAATGTAATATTTATTTCCTTTCTTTCTTTATTTTTTATTTTATTTTTTCCTATTTTCCTGACGGCCTTCCGTAGGCGCTTCTGACTTTAGAAACTAAGCCCTGACAGCAATAGAAAATTTAATAATGAATCATATCCAGTGCACCAAAAAATAATAGCCAAAATAAAGTGAATTATTTCTACCCAAAAATGCGACGCAAAACTCCCTATCGCAGCACTACCCAGTTCCCGCGGGGTAGAATAGCTCACGTGATTCAATGCGATGCGACGTTTCAAGGCCCTTTTTAGGGCCGTAGACCGATAAAATAGGCTCAGGATACGGATACCGATCGATTTTACCGAAAGTAACGAGTAACGATACGATAGTAACGAGTACTGGTTCACCGAGTAAACGAATACATACGGGTACACAATTTCTCGTTACTTCTACAGCACTACAACCAACCACAAAATTTCTCCATAATGCCGAGTCTTTACGCCCGAAAGATAAAGCTATTTATGACTGTAATGTAAATTTAATTTTTATCATAGATATAGTAATATACAGAATTGGGGCGCTGTGATCACGTACGATGGAGGCAGGATCTTGGAAGAGCTCCTGAATTTTCAAAGGTGTTTTCCGGAAAATCTTCATTTATTTAAGAAAATTTTCGCGAATATCCTCTGCATTGTCTCCTTCTCAAGGCCGTGAGTTCTCCTGTACCTGGGGGTCTTGTCTTTCTTGTAATCTTTTGCAGCACTAAGACGGAGCGTTCAGATAAGTAGAACTTCTTTTCTCTAAGCTAAATCAAATATTTGTCACTAAAGTACCTTTAAATTCATTTATTTATTATGATCATTATTATTATTATGCTCATTTTGTTATGTTCTGGCATTAAATACTTAGTAATTGCTTTAAATCATGTGGTTCTTTTTTGGTTACCATCTCGTAGGGACGCTATGCTTATCGGTAGCCCTTATCAGTAGTGTTAGCACTACCCATTGGGGCCCCTTTGAAGAATTTCTCGAGAGGGAAAAACCAAGGAGGTTAGAATAGAAGGAGGGAGGGTTCGCAGTTTCCTCCACTATCGGGGAATGAAACTCCGCCGAACAAGTGGCGTCCATGTTTGTGACTTCAAAACATTGCATTACGGCAGTGACATGTACGTGTTTCTAAGCTGTTCCGTGCATTTATTTTCCAGTAAAAATATGTTAAATTTATAATGAAATCCCTCGCTATTGTTAAATTTTTGTTTTAAAGTAATAAAGATGATATCCATAATTTACTACGTACAGAAAATTATTAAGAAATAGTTCGAAATCTAACTATTTCTTAATCCATGCGCATAACATTAAAGCCTTTAAAAAATGATGTTTCTGCATATTTCACGGATTTGCTTAGGTTAGAAAATAAATCTTAATGAAATAAAACAGATTTATGTGAATTCATTGATTTCAGTTTATGCGCATTTCATATTTATTAATCTCAAAGAAACTGCCTTTAATTAAGTTGAATTACAGAAATACACCTATTTTTGGTTTTGGTTTGGTTATTTATTTAAGTTTTTGGATACATCTTTCCACATGTTCAATTGTGTAAATATTTTACTTAATTTTATCACTATACTGCCCAGAAATTTGTAAGTTTACGCAAAAAATTTTTAACAACAGAACAGTTTATCTTAACTTAAAAAAATGAATAATAATTAATATATAAAGAAAAGCATTGCTTTATTTAACACCTTTACAATTAATAAAAATAGTAACAATTGATTTCTTACTTTTCATGAAAGTTATAAAACGAATTAACTAAAACGTTCAAATTATACAATTTAAATCCTACCATATAGCATTGTATCTAAGGAACGAAGATACCAGCTATAAACAGAAACATTAAAATGTATTTAATA